CATATGAACATGAGTTAGTCCCCCTTAAAAAGTCAATTAATCTATCTGGAAATTCCCGAGTAGCCCGTTGGGCATGTTGTGTTGTCCATTGTTGCCCTCTGCAAGGAGACAGCTAATTGATCCACTGGGAGATTTTTTGCCTCAATCCTGTTCAAATTGGAAAGGCGAGAGTTTCCATGACTATCTACAACATTTTATTTATGTCATCTGAAACCCATTCCAATATGTTTTTCTTGAAAATGCGATCTAAAAGTTTTGATAAGGGGGCCAGATGCCTACATGCATAGGACACTGTAAATGTGAATGGCTTCTTGTAACCATATTAGTGTCAATTTATGAATAAACAAGTTACTCAAATGTGCTTTAAAAACCCAGGCTTCAGTGAGAAAAGAACACAGCATTGAAGGCAAATCATATTGCCCAGACAACCACTTGTGTACCACAAATGCTCTTGAAGTGGGCAGGACTGTGGCCCAAGGTATTGATTCTGCTTTGCAGAATTGCATAGCTTTAAAAACAAGCTTTTCATCAGTCCTGCACCATAAACTTGAAGAGGTGTTTTTTGGAGACCGAGTAATCCGAATTTTGTTAAGAATTGACAATCCAAAAGCATCCTAGATGTAGGTTTAAACACACTTGATGGGCCATAATGCTATCTTTCGCAAAATAAGTAGGACATCCTTTCGGCCGAAAGGATGTTTAGCTCCAGGAGTTAAAGATCTAGTAAAAGAACTAGGAAAGAAAAAAGAGCCCCTTATTTCTTTTTCTCTTTGCAGTCATTGTTGCCTCTTTCCCCCCTTGTCAACCCTCAATGCTCCATACCCAGACCATGTTTCATTTAACATGGGAGACTGTGAAATAAAGGATCCTTGCACTTGGGAGGATGTCTAAAGCATTTCACAGGAACGGGTAGAAAACAGAGAGTAGGGATAAACGGGGCATTCTCGAATTGGCAGGATGCGTCTAGTGGAGTGCCACAAGGACCAGTGCTTGGGTGTCAGCTATTTACAATTTACATCAATGATCTAGACGAGGACATTGAATGTAACATATCTAAATTCGCGGATGACACTAAACTAGGTGGGAGAGTAAGCTCTGAGGATGTCGCAAAAAGATTGCAACGGGATATAGATAGGCTGGGGAGTGGGCGAGTAGGTGGCAGATGGAATTGAATGTGGGGAAGTGTGAAGTTATTCACCTAGGTAGCAAAAATAGAAAACCAGATTATTTTCTAAAGGGGGAGAGATTAGATAGTGTTAGTGTTCAGAGGGATTTGGGTGTCCTTGTACACCAGTCACCAAAAGTTAGTTTGCAGGTGCAGCAAGCAACTAAGAAGACAAACGGCATGTTAGCGTTCATTGCAAAAGGTTTAGAGTACAAGAGTAGGGAAGTCTTGCTGCAACTGTATAGGGCTTTGGTGAGACCGCACCTAGAGTATTGTGTGCAGTTTTGGTCTCCTTATTTAAAAAAGAACATACTTGCCCTAGAGGGGGTGCAGTGGTTAGTTCCTGGGATGAGGGGACTGACCTATGAGGATAGGCTGAATAAACTAGGGCTGTATTCTTTAGAGTACAGAAGAATTAGGGGAGATCTTATTGAAAATATAAGATTCTTAAAGGGCTGAAAAAGTAGACACTGAGGGTCTGTTTCCCCTGGTAGGAGAATCTATAACCAGGGGTCACAGTCTTAAAATTAAGGGTCAGCCTTTTAGAACAGAGTTGAGAAAACATTTCTTCACTCAGAAGGTAGTGAATTCACTACCCCAGAAGGCTGTAGATGCTCAGTCCTTGAACATTTTCAAGATAGATTTTTTAAAAATAGAGGGATTAGGGGATATGGGGACAGGGCAGATAATTAGAGTTAGGTCAGAAGATCAGCCATGATCTTATCGAATGGCGGGACAGACTCGAGGGGCCGAATGGCCTACTCCTGCTCCTAATTCTTATGTTCTTATGAACTCCTGTGAAGATTCAAATCTAGTTTTGGGCAAAGTATGTTTTCTTATGAGTTTACACTTAAATGTTTGCTGTGTAAAAATGTCATTCATGTGGCGTTGTAAACTTTATATGTATTGGTGATAGTCTCATCCTTTCTGATTAGGTATGTGTATTGAGCAGACGTAGGATCACATCTCTCCTTTTTTGCTAAAAATTTTACCTAAGTTTAATTTATAAAAGGACATTGCAAAGCTCTTGTTTCTAGAAAGCTTTAGTTTTCTGTGTACAATACATAGAATCTTTGCTGTTTATTCTGCAGACTTGTCAGTGAATCACTGACAAACAGAATAAACAGCAAGAGAGACAGCACAAATCGGGCTGGTGCCCTCCTGCTGACATCACTGGGAGGGATAGTCTCTGGAGTATTGTCATTCGTACCCACGCTGTAGAAATGTGGCAGTTACGAATCTCAGTGGACTTGTTCCCCTAAGATCTGGGAGCTTTGAATGTTTATTTAACATCCTTAGGATCGATTGCGCAGCCAGTTATTTAACAAATTTAAAAAGCAAAACAGCCACCGAGGAGATCTCATTGAAGTATTTTTCTTAGTTGTAATTAAATAAAAACTCTCCCTTTCCCCAGTCATTTGTGCTGCTGGGGCTGCTGTCTCTTAATTGTGTGCATGTCCTTGTTTCATACTTCGCTGTCCTCTCTACCAGTCAAAATTGAGAATTCAGCTCACACCAAAAGCCACATATTACAGGAATAAGGAGATGTGTGTGACGCAAGCATAGCAAAGCTCTTTGTGTATTCCCTGTAGCTTAACAATTTCCTATTTGTTTGTGGAATTGAGAGTCAAGAAGGTGTCGCCTGTAGTATGTAGCCTAACATTCTGAATTGCAAAAATATTAGATCTGTAACATGTGCAATTGCAATGACTTTGCTGAGGAGATGAATAATGTGATGAAAACCTTAATGAGGTTTGAAACTGTCTGCACTGGCATTGATGTAAGCGGGTAATAGAGTACAGTAGTTGATTGTGATGGCCTTGAAGCTGAACAAACAGTGGTGTGATTCACTTAGCGGAGATGCAGAAGAAAATACTGTAGGAGCAACTGTTCGTACGGTAGGTGCAATGCCATTATGCACAGGATTGTTAATATTCTATACAAGTGTGTGTCACCTCGGTGAAACACTCGCCTCTGTTGACCTTATTGTATCTCTAATGTAGTGCCTTTGTAATCCGAAACATCCTCTTGCTATAATGCAAAGCTTCATAGAAATGTTTGAGGTATAGTGTTGACTGAAATGTAAGATAGGAACTGTGTAGAATTTCCCAACAGGACCGTTCAGAAAGCATAAATAATACAAAACAGTTTGAATTAGGAAACGTAAACGCTTGGGAGTGTGTGCAAGGCAGAAGCATACTCTTGGGGTTTAGATGATCAAAAATCCCAGGATTTGCTCTTGCTATGCACTACATCATCCAAATCCCTTGTGAGTTTACTGCCTCATAACAAGCTTCAGCCGTTGCTTTCTATTTATAGAGATTTACTGTAATTATGTGCAGTAGTTACTATGTATTATATAAGTACCATTGAGATGTAAATGTGGTTTGTTGTACTTTGATGCAACCCTGCACCCGAAAATAAGCAAATAAAAATATGTATTGCTGAATAGGAATTTATGAAAATTATGAAAATGACAACTTTTTTGATCTCAACAACTCTCAGGTTTCCGCATGATATCAGTTTGAAACTAAGTTTAATGGTGCTTTACATGATGAGAATTAACTTTGCTAGTTTAGTTGCCATATTTATTTCTGCACTGTTTTGAAATTATACATAAATTGATTTATAAATAGGCTTTATAAATAGAGGCATAGAGTACAAAAGCAGGGAAGTTCTGCCTAAACCTTTAGAGGTCATTGGTTAGGCCTTCGAGTATTGTGTCCCAATTCTGGACCAATTCTATCACTTTAGGAAGGATATCAAGACCTTGGAGAGGGTGCAGAGGAGATTTATAATAATGATAATAATCCTTGCATTTCACGTTTTCTCGACGTTTCAAAGCGCTTCACAGAATAGACTGTAAAGTGAATTGACCATATATTTGTGGGTGAAATGCGGCAGCCAATTGCGCACAGCAGTGTCTTACAAGGCAAGTGCTTACAAGGCAAGTGCTCTAACCACTGAGCTACAGGACTCCATTTACCAGAATGGTACCAGGGATAATAATAATAATAATAATAATCCTTGCATTTTGATATAGCGCTTTTCACGTCGGGAGGACGTCCCAAAGCGCTTCACAGAAGACACTGTAAAGTGAATTGACTGTATATTTGTGGGCGAACGCGGCAACCAATTGCGCACAGCAATGTCCCACAAACAGTCATAGATTGAAAATGACCAATTTATTATTGTTTTTGGTTTTGGAGGGATTATTATTAGGCTCTGTGTGGAGTAAGGAAACTTGCCCAAGGTTTCGCCCTCTGCCTGGAATTGAACTCAGGTCTCTCGCTTGCAAAGCGAGTGCTCTAACCACTGAGCTACAGGACTCCACAAAGGATGAGGGACTTTAGTTATGTAGAGAGACGATTTAGTTATGTAAGAGAAGCTGGCCTTGTTCTCCTGTGAGCGGAGAAGGTTAAGGTTTAATAGAGGTGTTCAAAATTATGAAGGGTTTTAATAGAGTAGATAGAGGGAAACTGTTCCCACTGGCAATTGAGTCGGTAACCAGAGGACATAGATTTAAGATAATTGGCAAAAGAACCAGAGGGGAGATGAGGAGAATTTTTTTTACACACAGAGAGTTGTTATGGTCTGGAATGTACTGCCTGAAAGTTTGGTGGAAACAGATTCAGTGCCAACTTTCAAAAGGGAATTAGATAGGTACTTGAAAAGGAAATATTTGCAAGGATATAGGGAAAGAGCGGGAGAGTGAGACTGATTGGGTAGCTCATCCAAAGAGCCGGTACTGGCCCCGATGGGCCAAATGGCCTTCTTCTCTGCTGTAATATTCTATGATTCTATTCTATGATAGCAATTTGAAATTTTATTTCAGGAAATCTAGTATGAGCCATGGAGGATGGAGGAAACGATCTGCCGATGGGGATGGCTGGAGAGAGTGGGTATGTAGAGGACCATTTTTTTTTGTCAATTCTAAATGATTTTCATTTGTTAGTGAAGTTGTCCACCACTTATCAGTTGTTTAATCAAGTTCATTAAGTCTGGCATCGCCTGCCTTAGTCTAATATAGAGGAATACTATTGTCAAAATTTAGTTTTTTTTTGTTTATTGAGTTATTTTGGTTAAACACAATATGTCAGGCTTTCTCACTGGGTAGCACTCTCGCCTCTGGATCAGAGGACTGTTGGTTTAAGCCCCACATCGGGACTTGGAACTCATGTTGTGTAGGTTGACACTCGAGCAGTGCTGAGGGTGTGCTGCCTTGTTGGAGGTGTTTCGCCCACAAATATATATACGGTCAATTCACTTTACAGTATATTCTGTGAAGCGCTTTGAGACGTCTAGAAGACATGAAAAGCGCTATATCAAATGCAAAGATTATTATTATTATTGTTTGGATGAGATATTAAACCAAGGCCCTAGCTGTCTGTCCAGTTGAATGTTAAAGATCCCATGATACTATTCAAAAAAAGAAAGTAGTTTCTCCCCCTTGTCCTGAGCAGTGGTCCCCCAGATAAAATTTACTTCATGGCTGTTTGTGGACATTGCTATACGCAAACTGGCTGCTGCATTCACCCACAAAATACACAGTTATACCACTTTACAATACATGTCCTGTGAAGGGCTTTGGGATGTATTCCTGATGTGAAAGGCACCATACCAAATGCAAGTTATTATTATTAAAAATGGTTTCAGAAGAAGTTAAGCTAAAGGTTTGTAAACAATATTTTCTGAAATTTTTCTAGGGAGGTTACATGAATGCAAAGGTTGACAAGCTGGAAAAGCAGTTCAGATCAGATGCTCCTCGCGAACAAGAAAATGAAGGGACATCATCTTGCATTTTCAAAGGAGTAGCCATTCATGTCAATGGTTACACAGGTATGTGGCTTCAAGATAACACTTACCTTTCATAAAATTTTGATAATATCAGTTAAGGTACCTCAGTGAATTAAAATTTTCCCGAAAATCATGCAAAAACAATTTCAAAAATTAAACTCATCATTTACAAAACGTAGGTTGCCAAGAGAAATAATAGTTTGTGAGAAATAAAATACATTTACAGTAGTACTTTTGCTGCTAGGGCCTAGAATGCTATCTAATCTATAAACCCGGATTTTCTTAAAGCTTATGGATGAAGTTTTGTGTTTTAGATCCATCAGCGGATGAACTGCGACGGCTAATGATGCTTCATGGAGGCCAGTACCATCTGTACTATTCCAGGTCTAAAACCACTCACATCATCGCCACCAACCTGCCAAATACAAAAATTAAAGACCTGAAGGAAGAAAAAGTGGTTCGACCTGAGTGGATTACAGACAGGTCAGTTACAATAGAATTTTTATTGTCGCATTCCTATTTTTTGGGTGAGTGGGAAAAGTATACAATAAATGACTCAGCTATCTTTGTCCAGACCGGCTTTCTTGCTCGATAATACTTTTGTTAGCAACAGGCCAAATTTTTAAAGGAATGAAGGACATCTTGTGGAATAAATATATATTTACATGTAAACTGTCACAGGTGGCAGTAGACTACCAAATCTGTAATTCATTGGATGTAACACGCACAGGCTCCCAATAACATTTTGTATTTACTATTATAACATTTTGATTTGTTTAAATTTCAAAATGTTTTGTGTAATAGTAAATACAAAATAAGTTGTTTACTTACTTATACTGTCTTAGAGAGGAGAGACTCAATATCTATTTGTTACAAGCTAACCGACCAACCTTCTTGTGCGATGTCTATCCTTCGCTCTTAAGCATGTTTCTTAAGCATGTTTCTTAAGCATGTTTCTTTAAGCATGCTTCTTAAGCATGTTTCTGTTCTATGCTGTTATGTAGTTGTGCTAGTCTTTAATATGCTTTGTTGTACCATCTCCAAGGTTCAGGTTTGGAGGAAACTTGAAAAATATCTGTATTTGGCTGGTGCAGTTTATATGCAGTTTATGATTATCAAATCTTGACAGACTCGCAGATTATTTTGGGGAGTATAGTATCAATCTGAGGCTTCAAACACCTGAAGGTGAACATCTTTTTATCCAATCTTAAAAAGTTAAAAGTGATACTCCAGTTAATATTAATATACTGCAGACTGCATTAAACATTTTGTACATTAAATAATCATCAGGCGTGGTACGATTTGTATTTCATTATAAAAAAAATTAGACATGATATGTAAAGAGCTGCTAATTTCATTGAGTCAAGTATTTATCACCATCAACTTGGGTAATTTTCTGAGTTGTAAACACTTAAAGCCATTTCCAGTGTAAGATAATATATGATTGATTGCGGGATTTATCTTTTATTGGGTTAATTTCTATTTATTTTCACTGAACATTGGGCACGTTTGGTTCTAAAAATAGATTTTAACATTTCATGTTTTAAAACTGCACAAAACTAATCCATCTGTATGGTAATAACTTTGCAGATGTCAAAGCTCCTTACTGAAATTTATTATACATGTGTTTTTAATTGCATTGATTCAGTATTCACTATTTTGACAAAGATTATAAATTCCTTATGACAGAAATTACTCTAAAGAAGTTAAAAACTGTCTTTAAAAGTTGTTTTAATGGAAAGAAAGAACTTGCATTTTTATAATACTTTGTGTCAAAACTCATTCAATTGTAGTGATCGATTTTGTAGGGAAAGACCAGCTGTTTGCACCAGCAAAGTTCCACAAACATCTAGGAAGTATATAACTTATTAATCTAGATTATTGTTGGCCAGGACACTGCAAAGGGACAAACTCCCTTTTCTTTGAGCAGCATAGGATCTTTATTATCCATCCAAACAGGCAGGCAGAACCCTCCCGACGTGAAAGGCGCTATGTAAATGTAATGTTGTTGTTGGTTTCAAATCTCATCTGAAAAGTGTCATTTCCAACAATTTTACACTCCCCAGTACTGCACTCAAGTGTCATCTTGAATTATGAGCTCAGGTCCCAGTGACCAACTGAACTAAATCGATGCAGCTGATACAAGTTTGAAACTCATTAAATATACTTAATAGAATAGAGCATTGAAGGAAGCTATTTGGCCCATCAAATCTGTTCTGGTGCTATGGAGCTATATGAACTAAATTGAATTATGTTAGCCCTATATCCGTCCTTTCTATCAAAGATAGAAGGCATCACGTCATATCTGGGCTGGATTCATAAAAAAAGCCCTAGAAGTGGAACATTGGTTTGTAGTAACCTACTACAAACATACTACTGTATGCCAGTCAGTCTCCCATAATATTGTATTCGCTTAATGAATATGCATGTAGCAAAAGTTGAAAAGGTAGTGAAAACATTTCTGTTGAGCTAAGTTCACTACAGAATGTTAAAGTCAGTTTTTATACACAAAATAAAACTCCAAATAAATGAGAGAAAATGGTTGGAGGGAAATTTGACACATAAGAACAATGCAAGAACATGAAGCAGGTTGGTGCATCCTTAGCAAAGGCTCCTTAGGATTGAAGGAGGTCACTGAGGTAAGAGTGGGGCAAGACCTGCAGAATCAATTCTGCAATGTTGCTTTTTATGCTGTATTTATGAAGTCCAAAGTAAAATGCTGGTCTGGATTTAAAGATCAAACAGTTATATTTGTGTCGTATTTATCTATATCCTATGTTTTAATCTTACATAGTTTTGTATGTTTTATTTCTCTTATTGTCCTTATTTTTAAAATCAATGCATCATTTTTTATATAGGTCTATACCCATTTATTTAATCGTTTACTTGGGAGAAGAAATAGTATCCTTTCAGATTTGTTAATGTCTCATTGTCTTTAAAGTTTGTTTATAGAGAAAAATGGATTCATGTGTGTTTTGATTTATTGTTACAGTATTAAAGTTGGCCGCCTCCTCTCCTTCAAACCTTATCAGCTTTATACCAAGCAGTCAAGTGCACAGAAAGGTTTGAACTTCACTGTCAGCAAACTCGAGGAACCCACACCAGGCCCTAGCAATATTCATAAGCTTAATAAAAATGTGTAAGTACTTCAGGGACAGCAATATGTTGAGGTATAATTTCCAAACCAGGGATATTTTTTGTGGTATGGCATCTTTTATGCTACTGCTCAAATCACTATAGTTTTACATTTATTGGAATAAGTTGAAGACTAACTGGCAATCAAATGAACTTTGACTAACAGTTTCTTATCTGCACAAAACAGTTTTAGGTAAAGCATTCAAGATGTCATGGCATATTTTGTTTTTTTTATTGCATTATTTTGCATCTTATGGATCTGAAGATTTATTCTACTGAATAAATGTATTCCGTTGAGATGGCGAGATGGGAAACAAATGGTTATGGTAATATCTAACCTTGAAAATCCATTTGATATATAGGCTTTTTAGTTTTTTGATTGACATGTGGTAATGACTTCTGTGAATCAGATGTATTTAGAAGTAAATCTCTTCCTTCTCCTTTCAGGCATGATCTTTCATCAGAAATTAAGCGGTGGACTGGGGCAGTCCCTATGCAGGATCGAGGCAGGTAGGTCAAGAATAAAAGAGATTTGATGACATCAGGAGGCCACTGACATTAATCTGTTTTTGAAATTTTCATTAAAAATAGGGCAACTAAATTTCCTCACATTTGAGAATGTTCAATTGATTTCATTAACATTTCTGGTTTCTTGATGAGAGGAATGTCATTGCCCAAATTTCTTGACTCGTAAAGAGGAACTTGTAGAATAAATAGTGGGCAGCTTTGGTTTACCCCATGGATGCTGAAGTGTGTGCTACAGAACATGGCACTTGTTTAATTGAGCACATACATTGTGGGTGCAAGTTGTGTGGTGTGTATAAGATGCAATGATCTCTGATGCTTTGTTCTAGGAGTCTTACCAACAGCCAAGATGGAGTTAAATGCAAAGAGAAAGGAAAGAGAATGAGCATCAATGGAATGAATCGATGGGGCGAGGAGAATGAGGTGTATGACCTCATGGAATTGGAGCATATCTTTCCTAATTTAAACAATGGAATTCATAGTCGGGAAGACCACTTTTCCTTTTACAATAATAATGAGCTCAATTTTCATAGTGCCTTAAAAAAACAGGATTATTCAAAACATTACAATGAAACTTTGTGGGAAAAGGAGCCTCCACATCTTACAATGCTGGAAGATGAAAATGATGACTGTGAAATGGATTTCAAAAACTGTGAGAAGCAGCTGGCAGAAAGTAGTACTTTGTTGTCCAACTGCTGTAGGACTGTTGCAACTACTTCATCAAATGAATGTTTTAAAATAAATGGAACTAATAATCCTGTTGTTCAAGGGATGCCACAAGCAAATAATACTTCAAAGCCTTCACCCAGTAAGGCATCGTCTCTCTGGTCTTCAAGACCTACCGATCCTAGTTTTATATCTGAATTTTATGCCCGTTCAAGATTGCATCATATAGCAACATGGAAAAGTGAGTTTACGGAATATGTGAAGAAACTTCAGAAACAAAGTACTGGTGTATATCCAGCTAGGGAAAAGCTCAAAAGGATTAAGATGGGAAAACTTCAAAGGAATCTTTCTTTTACAAACACTCAAGGTAAGATGCTACTGAGGGGAAACACTGTGTTGTCAATAGGATTTCAGTAAATCATGAAAGAAAGTGATATTTGTGCAGTTGCATTTGTAAGATTTTTTCCTTACTAGAATCTTGAAACACATAATGTTGGACACGTGAAATTTCTGAACTACATTCATGTCAAGTGTGAAAAACATCCAATAGTAGTCATACAAGAGCATTTTTAACTATGTAAAATTAGGGTGAATAGCTGGTAGTTACAATTCCGTCATTAGTGGGGATGGGAACAATTTGAGATGCAGGAGGGTATCTAACAAGAAAGGTGTTGTTGGCATATTAAAGCACATTTGGTTAAGTGTTATTTTTATTTCCGTTGGTTCCCAAACAAACCGGCAATGAAAACACAGCTGCATTTGTAAAATATATATACATGGAACAGGAAGAAAAGTGACAATCTTAAACATCTTCCCATCTGTGTTTCTGCAATTTACCGGGTAAATGTTAGTTTTTATTTGCATCTTAGTTTGAATAAAGTTAACAATATGTACTGTATGTTAAAAATCAAAGATTTTTCTGATCTGTACTGACATTGACAGCCATTTACCATTTGTACCTGTGAAAAACATGATTGAGATTAAAAGCACACACAAAATATAATTCGTAAGTGGGGTCTCCTGGGAGCTGAACGGGCTCCAAGGTGACAAGCCTGGCAATGGAATGTCGGAATTGAGTCAGCCCTCTGTGGCTGTCATGGTAGTCAGTCCATATCCTGAACCAGGCAGGTTCTCAGTATACCAGGGCACTAGTGATAACAGCATAGCCCCATTGGCAGGACCTTGAAGGGCAGACCAGTTACTGGGGGCAGGGAGTCATCCCACTCAGCTCCTGTTAATCCTGCAAGCTAAAGCACTAATGGGTAGGGTGCTCCTAGCTGGACAAGCAGTGGGAAAGCTTGCCAGACACAAATATCAATGGCAAGCTACGCGGTTTTAGCTGGTTAGACTCCAGCAGTACCACAACACACACTCTGGGGGCAAGCCTTGGCTCTTGCCAACCTGCGCCTAATATTTCCAGAATTAGGCAAGCAGGATGCGTCACTCCAGGGAGAGAGTGCACATTCCATTACAACAATCCATGTGTAGGTGGGATGCATGGAAATCTCAGCTTGGTTTGGATACTCTTAAGCAGGTGATGGGTTTCCGCATGTGTCAAGACATCCCGCAGACCAATAAAAAAACACAAAATATCCTGTCTGAAACTGTGATACCTATGGTTAACTATTGGGGCATTATCAATCCTGAACTAGTAATACTTGCCAAAATGCCACCAGTGGATTTAAAATCTAGCAAGCAATATGAAGTGCTTCTCTAACTCACTCTGACTACAATGTGGTGTTTTCTTGCAGGCGCTATGAATGTTATGGATCCTCCTAGACAACAGAATTGTATCATGCATATTGATATGGACTGCTTCTTTGTGTCAGTAGGCATTCGAGATCGACCAGAACTGAAGGGTTTGTAAACATCAAGAATTTTGCAACTGGGTTGGATGACAGAACTGTGATTTGTGTAGAGGATCAATGCCATTTGAACGTAGTTTTTAAGAATCCCTGAATATTCTTGCTGTGTTGTAGATCCAAGAAAATGAATCTTTCAGGAGATCCCTGGTCTATTATTTATGTTAAGACAGCGCCTTTCAGCTCTAATAAGTCAGTTTTGGTTGATTTTTATTTTCTTGAAAAAACTTTGAAATACTTTTTTTAAGAAAACGCCCCATTTATGGTACAAAAAGTATTCAGCTTTGTGGCCATGGTACAAGTTTACCAGTTATCACTGCATTGATAAGGACCATTAAAGTTATTTTCTACACAGATTTTCTGTGCTGTAAATCTTTGTGGTTTCTAAATTCCATTTTTTCGGCCAAATTTATAAGTTTTTACATCTGAAGTTGCCCAAGAATTGTCATCTGCTCCTCTACCATTTCTATTGTTGAAAATTTTCATCCACATTAAGGAACATTGGGAGTCCTGTGAATACCATACGCAAATGTGGTGTGTGATGGCTGTGTGGAGGATCATTTATTGGCTTCTATATCTACATAATCATCATTATCTTGCTTACCTAATCCTAGAAAGTATTCGGCACAGGTTGGATACTGAGGTGCATTTAGAATACGTGCCTCTGCTGCACATTCAAAAAAAAAGAAAAAAAGAGTGGTCATTCAATTCAATCCACGACTGTTTGTGGGACACTGCTGTGCGCAAGCTGCCGCGTTTCGCCCACAAAATACACAGTCAATTCACTTACAGTATATTCTGTGAAGCACTTTGGGACGTATCGAAGACACGCTAAGGCGCTATATCAAATACAAGGATTATTATTATCCTTTGCATATACCCAAGCCCATCTGACTGCAATGCTGGTTCAAGGAATGCAGTGCCAGCTCCATTAACACACTCAAAAGCAAGTTCTGGTATTGGGAGCCAGTGGGAGCCTGGCGAGAACTGGGGAGATGTTCAGGTGAGGATATGGGCAGTGGAGTTTGTGAATTCATTTTCAAGAATGATAACCAACTAGAAATTGTACAAAATTAATAGACTTAACAGCTGATCATACAAATAAACAATGTGCTTTTAAAAAGGAAACTGAGTAGAGAATATCAAATTGTATCTTTACAAGTCAAATTATAATAGGTACGTTTGTTCTCCCTCTGTTATACAAAGCTCCTTATCTTTACGTGTTTCACCACCAGAGGGAATGTACATTTTTGAAAAGTATTGAATAATTGTAAGACTTGCTTTCATCTGCTGAGATTGTCGAAATTAATTAAAAAAGAAGCTACCTTAACTGCAAAATAGGTAGGATTGGCAGCATTTCTTTTCATATTTCTGTCCAATTAACCTGCTCAGAGACTACATATTGAATGAACTCATTTCAGAAAGGAATCCAAGCAAGTGAATTTTCTTTCTTGATTCTTTCCCCCACACAAACAAAAAAGCATGTGAGACTTCAGCTAAAAAGGGAAATTTCAGATAATTAATTTGTCCCATTTCTGCATTAGGAAAACCTGTGGCTGTCACCCACAACAGAGGGCCAGGTCACGTACCTATCCGACCAGGTGCTAACCCACAGTTAGAAATGCAGTACTACCAGAGAAGGTTCATGAAAGGCAAGGCTGGTGAGTATATACTGTTAGTTTGTTTAATCTATAAAGGTTTAGTTTTCAGTTTGCACCAGTGGAATCAATATTTGCATGTGGTGTCATGGAGTGCAGCCTTATTGTGCTCTGAAGCAGAAGTGGCAACCATGCAATTAGTGATAACTAACTTCCAACTATTTTTGCTGTTATAGGATATTTTTATCTTCATTTTAATAAAAGTTGAGATCAGAGATATAGTCCCCCCCCCTCTCCCTCACCTTGTATTTATTTGAATTTTAGCAGATGTAGGATTACCAGTAGGGTGTACGTAGTAGTAAAGGTTTCATGACAGGCCGGTCGAAACTAAGCCTGATTGAAATTCCTCAGTGAGATGTAAAACCAATTTATACAGTCAAAGCTTATTATAAACAGCTGTAGTTGTTATCATTTTTATTTAGTCTAACTTTTGTACCGCTAGATTTGAGTTAATCATAAGTAGCATGTCAAATAGCAAGGTTACCAATATCTGCAGTCTGCAGCACTTTGATATTTAGAAGCAAGAGCATTCAGTTAACTTGATAATTATGTTTTGGAAACTGAGCACTTTGAATGCTAAATTGGCACAGATCCACCCCTAATGTTTGATATCCAGACCATTTAAGAGCCCTGGACACAAAATGCTCATCACTATTTAATTGTCAAACAATGCTTAGAACTCACATGTCCATGTAGTAGTTTCTTTCTGCTGGCTGATGGCCATGGTGCAGATGAATGAATAAAGAACTAAAATGAACTGTACATGCAAGCACATTGTGAGCAAGAACATGTGCACTATTTCAGTTGATCTGCCTTCTGTTCAGTTATAATAATAATAATGTCTTCGAGACATCTCAAAGCACTTCACAGAATACACAGTAAAGTGAATTGACTGTATATTTTGTGGGTAAAACGTTATATGCGGATCACACTGCTTCAATTAACAAATTAAATATATAAATGTTCCTTTAGCAACCATTTTGCCACCAATGAACGTTCCCCTCCAATCCAGTTTCCGCCCTTCCAACAGCACAGAGACTTCCCAGGTCAAAGTAACCAGTGATGTTCCCGCCATCCGCGACCAAGAGTCCCTTTGCCACCTTATTCTCCATGACTTCTCTTTGATTATCCAATGCCTTGGTACATCGTCCCAACTTGAAATGCGCTATACAAATGTAATTTTGTTGTTGTTGTTCTCTGCCACCTCAACACCGTTGATCATTTCTTGTTCGCCATCATCTCTTATCCTCGCTACACCTCCATGGCTCGGTCCTTTCCTGGTTTCACTCTTACCTTCCCAGTGCCTTCAATTTGTCTCCTCCTTCACTGTTATATGGATGTTCATCAGGGCTCTGACCTCAATTCTCACCTTTTCACTATCTGTATGGTGACATCTTGGTGGCATCATTTGTAAACTTCAGGCCCACTTCCACATTTACACAGTTACATCCAATTCTATCTTTCTAACTCTACCTTCAATTCTAAGACTATTAGTTTTCTGATTGATTACCTGTCAGACATCAAGTTCTGGTTGACTTCTAACTTGAGTTCTAACTTTCTACTTCCTCACCTTATCATTGACTTGCATGAATGCTTAGTGCACCCTCATGGAGTCAGGTGCGGAGCCTTGGTGTTTTGTTTGACCCTCAATTATCTTTCAAACCCTACATTTATGCTTTCACTTGCTCTGGCTTTCCTCAACACTGTCGCCTGTCTCATGTTTGAGAATTAAGATGAGCTTTCATTGTAGCTCACATTTGCCACAAATTTGGAAGTATGTGACACTGTTTTAGTAAATTCCTGTTGCGCACAAATACGTTTTTTATACGCAGAATGTTACTACTGTCTCAGGGGTTTTAGTGAAACAGCCAGCAGCTGTTTCAAGAATTATTGATTTCTCAACATTAACTCAAAAACTTCAAAGAATGTACAGTATTCTTTGCTTCAGGCTGTGATTGTGATCTGAAACAAATTTCATATTCTAGAATTTGTTATTTATTTCCCCACTTCCCTCCCAACGATAGTTGAACCAGACTGAACAATTTTAACCCTGGACCAAATTCTAAGAGAGGAGACTAGATAAATTAAGGAGCTAACTAGTGAAAGATTTATATTCTGATTCTGGAAAATCTTTATATAAAGACTATGATGATTGCATATAATATTGACAGATTTCAATCTAAAATAAAGATATAAATATAAAACTTTACAAACCCTTTGATTGCTAATATAAGGAAATTATCCTTTTGTAATTTGGGTCAAGATGATAAATATAGAGTGAAGACTAAGAAGCAATAATAATACTTACATTTGATATTGTGCCCATAACATCAAAACATTTCAAAGCGCTTTGCAGGTAATTTCTGTAAAGTGTAGGCAGCAACCAATTTGTGCATGGCACTGTCCACAGCCATATCCAACTTATCTAGATTGTTGGCTGCAACACTGAGAGAAACTCCTTTTTGAATAATGTCATGGAATCTTCAATGAACACGGCTTCCATATGTGGGACTTTCATTTCTGGTTTGAATACTCCTAAACATGGTGATGAGTTTCTGCATTTGTCTAGACACATTGCTGACCAAAAAAAAATCATTAACAAATACTTGAACAAACAGACAGGCCATCAATTTCCTCTGAAAGAAAGCACTACTATTAATGCAACACTACTGCTGTGTCAGCCATTGATTTTGAGTTCAGAGTCCTAGCATGTGGCTTGAACCCAATACTCTGAATTCAGAAACAAGTGTGCCAGTAACTGAGCCACTCTTTGTGATAAACAAGGCATAATGTAGAGTTTAATATTGCAATGAAAGAACAAGAACTTATGAATTTCTACTTTAATTGTAACAAAGATAACTTACATTTGTTCAGTGTTAATCTAACATTTTGTTCTTATCATAGAAGAGAAGAAAGTGCCTGATAAATTGGATTGTAGTACCTGGGAGAATCCAGGAGCTACCTGCACGAATGGCATCGACTTGGATATGGCATGTTTCTCAATGGCAGAAATTGCATCATGTAGCTATGAAGCTAGGTAACTAAAGCTACCTAATTTGAGGGAAAGGTTACACATCTAATGTACTCTTTGTTGCACTTATTTTGCTAAAAACAAATTTGAGAGGGAGTGTTATTTGTAAATCTTATCCATGCACAAATTATAATATTCTTTAGTATCCATGCTCTTTATTCACTGAAAAATTTACTTTAAAAATAACTTACTCCTAAATAGCAGCCAGAATCATTTATTTTTGGGTCAGCTGTGTATACTGACGCACATGGAAATCTAATGCCACACCATGCTTAAGCATATCCAAACAAAACTACTGAGAGTTTGTCTGATATGGAATATGCACTCTGTTTACCTAATTCCGGAAAGTTCAGGTGCAGGTTGGCAAGAGTTAGGCACTTAGGCACCACTGAGTGTGCATTGGGGTACTGTTGGAGCTTAACCATCTAATACCAACCTGCTTGCCATTGTGAACACTGGTAAGCTTTCTGCTGCTTGCATGGCGAAGACCACCCTACCCAGTAAGGGTTTGGTTTGCAGGGTTAACAAGTCAAGTTGGAAAAATACCAGGCACCACTGATGGTCTGTTCGTCTAATTCCTGTTAAATGAGCCAGGCTGACTAGTTCATCAGCAGTGCCTGTGGATGTGTGAAACTGTTTTCATTGTCATTTTTTTTTCAGACAGGCTGGTATTAAGAATGGCATGTTTTTCGGACAAGCAAAACAGCTGTGTCCTGATCTTCAGCCTGTTAGCTACGACTTTCAAGCATACAAAGAAGTGGCGGTAGCCTTGTATGAAACACTAGCAAGGTATTATGATTTTCGCAACATGTAGACTTTAGATGCTTGAAGTTCTCACTTAAGTTCTCTTAAATTAATTTAAAATAATAATTAAAGTTCTCTTAAAATTAAGATTGTTTTGATAAAGTCTTAATTTGGAGCCCAGTTTACAGATTTTTGGGATACTTTTGTTTTTGATTGAAGCAAATAACAACGATGTTGGACATTTATCATGTTCTGACTTGCAATACTCATTGTCACTTTCAAGAATTCTAAATCAGATATAGCAAAGGTTCAAACTTAGTTTACTTTTCTTGACAGTTGGGTTGAAGTTCTATTATTTCTTACTGAAATTAAACTTTCCTTAAGGAAACTTGGAGGCACAAACAGAATTCTGGCTAATACATGGAAATTCCACTCCAGAAGTGGTTCAGTGTGATATACTTCCAAACTACTCGATATCATACCAAGTCAGTGGAGGAGTTCCTACAGCCCAGTATCATTTGCCTCTCCCCATTCCCTTCTATTTATTTTATCTTTGTCAATAATATGGTACAAAATAACCATTCACTCACTTTGCGCTACAGATATATCCCACTAAATTTGAGCTAAAATCTCTCAAATATGTTGCACTTTATATTTTTGCAGGTATTAGAGAGAGGCTTTCATTTTATTAACCTGAGGGGACCTGTTGGGAGGTTTATAAGATTTTGACTGGGATTCAGAAAGTAACCCCAGAACAAGATCCAAGGCCACAGAGCAAAAGGAAGTTTTTCTTTATTTAGAGGGTTATTAATGTTACTAGGAAAGGTGCTTGAGGCCAAAACACCGCACCTGTTTAAGAAACAGTGTGATGCTGACATGGGAGGACATTAGTGTGGTATTCTGAAAGGATGACAACAAAAGTGCTAAATGGCCTTCTTGATCTGAACTTGTTTGTGAATTTGGACTGAATCTGTTATAACCCGAATCCCTGCAATGAAATAGTGCCCTGATCCACAGTTTATTTTTATTGCTTTGTTTCAAAGGGGGCCTTGTGTAAACCAATCTATTATGTTATGAATTCCATGATTTTAATATGAAATAAATCACTTTGCTTTTTAATCTGTGTTTAGCTATACTCATGACATTGAAGCTGTCAGTTGTGATGAAGCTCTTGTAGATGTTACGGCAATTCTTACAGACACTAGACTGACACCCGATGAGTTTGCAACGATTATTCGCTCTGAAATCAAAGAGAAAACTAAATGTAATGCATCAGTTGGAATGGGTATGTATCTAAACCCAATTAAATATGCTTTTAAATTGTGTTCAGTATTGTACAATGATAGCATTTTATTCTGAAATTATTTAATGCATTCAAGAATATTAAATATGTACTAGGTTTTGTTTGAAAAATGTGCATGGTTGTACTCTGCAACATTTGAAGAGGTTTACCTTAAGATCAGGGACCCAAATTAGTTCTTGTTCATTGTCTGGAATGTAAGATTTTACAGAATTTGGAAAACCATCTACAAGTTGTAGAAATCTGTTTTGTAACTTATAGATTTTATGGTGAATGTTGAACATTTTTCTTATTTCCAAGGATAGTACAAAGTAACCAGTAGGCAGACTCTTAGCCATGTATTACTCTAAATCTCCATCCTTCGGATGAGACTTTAAACCAAGGTCTGCCTGTTCAAGTGGATGTTAAAATCCCAGGGTACTTTTTTAAAAGAGAAGGGAGTTTCTCCCGGTATCCTGGCAAACTGTATCCCAAATAAATTAGTCACTCACTCCATGGCCATTTATGGGATATTGCTCAGTGCAAACTGGCTGCCGCGTTTTGCTCACAAAATATAGTCACTCTGTCTTACAGTATATCCTTTGAAGCAGTTTGAGAGGTTTCGCTCTAAATCAAATGCAACTACTCTTATTATGTAAATGGAGATATACAAGAATTCCACAATATTGCATCACTTTAACGCTGGTGTTGTGTTCTATAGGATCGAACATTCTGCTGGCCAGAGTGGCCACGGGTAAGGCCAAGCCAGATGGGCAGTATTATTTAAAACCAGAGGAAGTGGATGATTTTATCAGAGATCAACTCGTGAGAAATCTACCAGGTAAGCCTATTTGGGTGATGTGGACATTTTATAGGTTTGACCTAACTTGTAAATGTCATACATCCTGAAGTATTAAAGGATAAATCTTTTTCCTTCATAACTACCCTGATTTCTGAATCAAACTGTTTCAAGGGGAACTAAACCCCAGCATTAGTCACTTCTTTAAAATGTCACCTTGTTATCTCTCATCAATTATTGTGACAGTTTCCTCTTCCTCAGGCCAGACTTGGCTCACTTATTTAGCTTTGGCCAAGATTTAGCTGCGAAAATAGGAAAACATAAGTAGTATTGTTTGAAAACCATAAGGCAGGTCCCATTCATCCTGGAGGCATCATCACTAAATGATTCTCAATGTTTCCTAGCATCCTCTTCCTCTGTGGCGATCCCAGTTGGTGACCTCAGCAGAGCATTTACTCTTGGCTGCAGAGGAGGTATTCACAAGAAGCTGACTCCTGTAAGTGTTAATTTAAGAAACAAAAAAGACGTAACCACTTCAGATTCAGTGTGCCTCCATTTCTGCTAAAATCCCACCTTAATCGCAGTGGCAAGAAACACAATGTAGGATTTGTTAGGGCAAAGTTGTAGTCTTTGGACCATATATCATTTAAACCAATGCACAATATAAGACATTTTATTTCCTTGTAACATTCAAATAAAATTTATATCGTGTCAGTTTGAATTACATGGCAATATCTCTGTAACAGTTGGAGTCTTGAGATTATTACGGTCATTGAATGACCTATTTTGTACATTTAAAAATTCATATTTTAAGGCAGTGATACATTGTGAGATTTGATGATGTGACTAACTAGGATCAGCTTTTTTTACATTAAATGTAACACAATATAAATTTACCCCATCTAGTTGGAGAGAATATAAATATCAATGAGGTGTCTCAAAACATTTTATTCTTATTACTTCACTGATAGCCTGCTGATGACCTCCCTTTCCAGTTCTGCAAACCAAAGTGGGCTGCTCAGCTGTTAGTTTTCTTTTAATTACTATTTTCAAATTTATAAATTAATAATAACATATTCAGTAGGTTAAAACCAAGAAATCAATTTACGTTGATGTATAAATTGAAGTCTGTCCCTTTAAGAAATCTAGAAAAATAAATGTAATATTATTAGTCAGTTGTATTTCCATCCTATCAATAACGTTAAAATTAAAGTGATTGATGGTGGTTAGCCGATATTGATGCACTTATTTGCACATGTGTAGAACTCTCTTAAGCCTCTATAGTAAACAGATTTGGGAGTGCATCAGTATAAATCAGGCTTTCCATTTGAGGTTTTTCTGTAGCTGGAAGCAGTGTCTCGACATTGTCTCTTGTTTCTGCAGGTATTATATATGTTGTGTAATCTGATTAGTTTAAAGCACTTTATTCTCTATATTCTAATATCAGAATTTGTTGAAATTGAGGCACAAATTAATTTGGATACATAAAAAATTCTAAGACTTAGGATGGGTGTCATGCAGATTTGTTCATACACAATGGGCTTATCCATGCCTTCAGTGTACTCACGAACCTGCGAAAATATCAAGTGAATAGAGTACCCAACTTCCTAATCTTTGGGAGCTGTGGTTCCACCAGTTCACTGACAAAATTCACAAAATTCACTGCCATAATTGGGACATCCTAATAACTTACTAATGTTAGATTCCAAGCTAAAATTCTGGAAGTGACAAGCCAACCATGAACTGTTTTGTTTAACAACTAGATTGTCCTTGGAATATCTGAACATGTGAACTACTTGCCAATATGCCAGATGCTCAGTCTGGGCCGTTATACACTGAACCTATTTTTTGCAAAGAGTTTGGTTTGTTAATGTTTCTGAGCTACAGGTCCTGTCTGGAAGTCCAATCAGTTCTGCTGAACATGTCTTGTCTGGTGAATGTGTATTGCATGGATGATGGCTGTCTGTCTTCCAAAATTTACTGTAATTCTTGGTTTCGATGTTTGATTTTGTCTATAAACCCTCCACTTTGTATTTCACAGTTGACTGGGTATGGCTTTTCAATTTTTTCTTACCAGTTTTTATCCTCTTAATCTCCTGTCTTGCCTTAACTCCTTCTAATAAATAAACATATCTCCTGAGTAGAGCTAATTCAATTTTCAACATTTCTCCTGTTAAAGTGCACAAACTATCAAGATATCTGAAACAAGTATTTATATCTGAACATTTTTTTACTTGTGAGTTCAAAGCTACTTGCCTACTGACTACAATAATTAACATTTAATGTGATTGCATCCATCACTTGAGAAACTGAAACCCTGCATTCAAAATGCTTAGACATTTCCTCTGTTGAGGCAGACTGTATTGATACCTTTTAAAACATATTCCAAATAATTAATCACACCTATTACATAAAGGAGGGAGCCAGTTATCTACACTAATTAGATCCAGCCTCATCGCGGATAATAATATTCCTTAAGGATAAGGAAACTTTGTGTACAATTGTTCATTACCCAAAAAGCAAATTGTCTACCATACTAACCAAAAAAATCCATCAGGAGTTATACTGTCACTATGGTACAAAACTGTGCCAGCCCTTCTCTTTCTCCCATTCTCTGACTTTTATCTTGTCTCTCACTTTCTTTGTACCTCTTTCTCTGTCTCTCTGTGTCTTAATTCTGTACTGTACCTGCAAAAGATTATTAAATAAATACTTCTGTGCTGCTGACTCACAATCACTCTCTGCTGATGAATCACATTCCTAGTAATCTCATGGGCATGCACACAACTGTTTTTATTTTTGCTGATTTTGCTGTTTTGTGTTCACTTTTACATTGGAGCCCAATGCTGAGAAATGCATGTGTGGATAGTCAGTTTGCAGGATTCTACTGTATTGAAAAAAAGCTTCTTTTCAGATACTTAACAATCTATTCTAATCTTTTAGAATGGAAACTTCCAGTATTGCCTTCTGTGTAAACCTTCAAATTGCACAAAATGTGGTTAAACTGTTCGTGAAGATACAGTCTGCTAATTTGCTGAACGTTACCGTTTCATCTTTATTTTTTTCTTTATTAAGTCTGCACCTTGAAAAAATTCAAATGGGCAACTTGATTTACTTTGCAGAACAATATTGAATAATGTAATTTTGTGAATCTATGATGTCCTAATATGTCACCAGAGTGGTTTGGCCCATCTATCTGACTCTTAAGTCTATGTCCTCTTGTTCTATTGTCTTGATGCATCCTAAAGTATTGTTCTGGGTTTACTTTTTCAATACCATTTGTATCCGTTGCTGTTGTCCTTATTCCTGTTCAAATCACAGTTGCTGGACACACTAGAAACTACCTTTCAATGAAATGAGATTAATAGGCTCATATTTGTTTGAATGGCTTGTTGGTTTTTTGATTACCAATTTAGTTAAACTCATTTGGTTGATCAGGATAAGAGAGGGACTTATTGATGATAAATCACAAATCATTGCTTTGTCTATAAATGGAGCGAACTCCCCGGTGAATGCTAATAAGTGCTCCGAGACACTGCCCTGCATGAAGGGCGCTATATAAATGCAAGGTGCAGTTCAGTGTTAAATATCCTTGCTTGTTTTTCAGAGTTGCAGGTCCTAGCATGTAATTGTTTTCCTTGTTCATCCCTTTTTGCGTTGCATTTATAATGTTGTTTGCATTGTATTTAGGAGTTGGAAGGACATTGGAATACAGGCTGGCATCTTTGGGTGTTAAAACATGTGGAGAACTTCAGCAACTTTTGATGCTTAGGCTTCAGAAAGAATTTGGACCCAAAACTGGCCTTATGCTCTACAGATTCTGCAGAGGTCTGGATGATAGGCCAGTCCGAACAGAAAAAGAACGGAAATCTGTATCTGCTGAGATCAACTATGGTGTCCGGTTCAGTCAGGTAAAGTACTGGACAACATTTTGTTTGTAATTGATTCTACGAATTTGATATCGTTCAACTGTTGCTACAAATCTACAGAGATTTTAAACAAGCAGAGTAGGGTGGAACGCAGTATTTATCCACTGGACTGTATTCTAGATCTGACTTTTTTATTGCATCTATAGTCTGAATTATAGCTCCAGAGTAGCACAGGACTAAGAATTTCCTGGCTCATTTTCCTTCCAGAAAGTTTAAGGTATTTTGCTGTGTTCTTGTGTAAAGAGCTTTGAAACATTCTCCATCTGTGAAAGACGCTATGTAAATGGAAGTTGTTGTTATTGCTGTTGCTGTGACAGGACAGCTGTTATCAGAAAATTGTTTAAGGGAAACACATGTACATATTTTATAGAGCAAACCTTTTAGTGAAAATTATTCAGGTATTTAAAAAACTTTCACTTTTCATTTCAATTTTTAAAGCTTACATAACTCTGTGTTAAAATGTATATTGGAAACTGGGTGGCACAGTGGCATGTGGGGCTTGGGTTAAATCAAGGTTAAATTGATGAATCTCCTCTGCTCTGATTGTAGGATTACATTTTGACAGTCTCATCCTAGCAGCACTTCCCTTAACTTAATACTAAATAAGCAATTTCACTTAAGAAGATCCTGGATGATGTGTGTAAAGTGGAAGAATTTTATACTGGTGCAATAGGGAGTGCTTTTCTGTGGTTTAGTCTAAGGCAGTTTGTCAGACTAATTAGAGGATAACTTTACTCTGCATTCAACATCTGGAACCCTAAATGGGAAAGCACTGGCATTCCTCACCTTGATAAAAACTGAATTCCCCACTTAAAAATGTCACATGGTATGAAGCATCACAGAAAGAGAAATAAAAATGTTATCCTTTGCCATTGAAGCTGCAAAATATTTTGCAGAGAAAGATTAAATTGATTAGAAAATAATCAATTGATACACCCAATGTATCACAGAGACGCTTAAATCAAAATATATTTACATCAGGCAGGTCAGGGCGAAACCTTGGGCAAGTTTCCTTACTCCACACACCTAATAATAATCCCTCCAAAAACCAAAAACAATAATAAATTGGTCATTTTCAATCTACGACTGTTTGTGGGACATTGCTGTGCTCAATTGGCTGCCGCGTTCGCCCATAAATATACAGTCAATTCACTTTACAGTGTGTTCTGTGAAGCGCTTTGGGACGTCCTCCCGACGTGAAAAGCGCTATATCAAATGCAAGGATTATTATTATTATTATTATCAAATATAGCTCAACTCAGGGTGGTCTTCAAAAGAAGACATGACTATAAATAGTATATTCTATTCACGATTATGCATGTAATCTTTTATTGACATTAAAATTAAACGCAAAATTTGTTTAATTCTATTTAATGCTACAGTACATCTGTGATCATGCACTGATAGTACGATCTAGGATAGGATAGCTAAATGAATATTGGAAATCAAACAAGGTTGTTCTCAGCAGTGTCAAGTACTAAAGAACAGAAAGACAGAATAAAGTATATATATCAAGCTTTGTTTGTCTGATGTCACCAAAAAAAATTACCATGTTTAAGAGTATTCAAACCAGAGTTCTACATATACATGGAAATGTTGTATACATATGCATTGAAATTTTTCATGTTTCTATACGAGGTGAACATTTTATTAGTCGGACAGCAACATTTTCTTGTCTTCTCCCTCTTCTCTCCCTCTCTTTCTCTTCTCCCCTTCCTTCTGCACCCAAAGGCCAAAGAGGCTGAGTCATTTCTTCTTAACCTCGTTGAAGAGATCCAGCGGAGACTGGAAGCATCTGGAATGAAAGGGAAGCGATTGACACTAAAAATAATGATGAGAAAAGCTGGTGCTCCAACTGAGCCAGCTAAATTTGGTGGACATGGAATTTGTGACAACGTTAGCAGGTATTGTAATGTGTAGACTGGTCCATGGAGAATAATAATGTGTATTATGCCAGGATATTAAGATATAACTAGCTTAAATGAAGTATGTTCTGTCATGGAGCTGGTATTTTATGCCCAATACTCCCTGACTATATTTGGGGGGGTTTCAAGTCGGGAGGAATCATAGAATCATACAGCACAGATAGAGGCCATTCAGCCCATCCAGCCTGCGCCGGCTCCTAAAAGAGCAATCCAACTCAATCCCACTGACCCGCTTTCTCTCCATAGCCCTGCAATCCTATCCTCCCCAAATACCCATCTACTTCTCTCTTAAAAGTTGTTATTGAATCGGCTTCCACTACCCTTTCAGGTAATGCATTCCAGATCTGAACAACTTGCTGGGTGAAAACATTTTTCCTAACCTCCCCTCTGTTTCTTTTAATAACTATCTTAGATCGTTGTCCTCGGGTTACTGGCCCACATGCCAGTGGAAACAGTTTTTCCCGGTTCAACCTATCAAATCCTCTCATGATCTTGAAAACCTCTATTAAATCCCCTCTTAATCTTCTCTGCTCTAGGGAGAATAATCCTAGTTTCGCTAACCTCTCCTCATAACTAACGTCCTTCATTCCTGGTACCATCCTGGTAAACCTCCTTTGCATCCTCTCCAATGCCCTAATATCTTTCCTAAAGTGCGGTGCCCAGAACTGAACACAGTCTCCAACTGCCTAACCAGCATTTTATAAATATTCAACATAACCTCCTGGCTTTTGAATGCTGTGCCCATATTTATAAAACCTAGTATCCCATATGCTTTTTTAACTTTATCTATCTGTCCTGCCACCTTCAGAGATATGCTTATGTGGACCCCCAGGTCTCTCTGTTCATTTGCCCCTTAAAGATTGTACCATCAGCTTATACTGCCTCTCCTCATTCTTCCTACCAAAATGCAACACTTCGCATTTCTCCACATTAAACCTCATCTGCCACATTTCTGCCCATTTTACCAATCTGTCTAAGTCCTCTTGGAGTCTGGTGCTATTCTCCTCACCATTAACTACTTTTCCTAGCTTAGTATCGTCTGCAAATTTAGAATTTGTGCTCCCTTTATCCAGGTCCAGATCATTAATATTAATATATATATTATTATATTAATAATATCAGAAAAAGCAGTGGTCTCAATACCGACCCCTGAGGGACACCACTACACACCCTCCCTCCCTCCAAATGGGACGAGTATCCCATTTATATTAACTAATAAAATATGCCCTAAATGTCAAAATAACATTTATTGGCCACAAGCATACAATTGAAGCCACCCCAACACCTTAAATTAAGTCAGAGTCATAATAATAATAATTCTTGCATTTGATATAATGCCTTATCACAACTTTGAGATGTCCCAAAGCGCTTCACATAATGTACTGTAAAGTGAATTGACTGTATATTTTGTGGGCGAAATGCAGCAGCCAATTGTGCACAGCAGTGTACCACAAACAGTCATGGATTGAAGTGAACGATTTTTTTTTGAGGAGTTATTACCCCTGGAAAAGTGATCCGCCAATCGACTAACAACTGGGTTCCTACTTACTGCTAGGTGAACAGAGGCGTGTGGAGAAAGGAAACTTGTCCTACCAGGAATCAAACCCAGCTTGCGAGCCGATAGCTCTAACCACTGAGCTACAGGACTCCTGTACTGTCATAATACATAAAGCCACTTGCATTTTCTTGCATTTGATATATGTCTCAAATAACTGAGACAGTGAGAATCCATGTAAACAAGATAATGACATTCTTACCACCTGTGGTGTTGAAATAGCTGAGACATGAGGCAACATGCAAACAGGATGACAATGTTGTTACTACCCATAGGATGGAAATAATTGGACAGTGAGGCCCATGCAAACGAGATTTGCAACATTCTTACTGCCCGCGGGGGTAGCCTGACTACAACAACAACAACAACTTGGATTTATGTAGCGCCCTCCATGCCAGACGGCATCTCAGAGTGCTTTACAGTTTAGGATCCCGGGACTGAGCCAGGGGGAGGGGTTGGAAGGTGACCAAAGGCACAGTCGAAAAGAAAGACTACTGCACTATTGGGCAGAATCCACCTACTCCTCTGGGACTCCATCCCCGAGTAAGAGCACTGCCCAAAACATTACCCAGTTTTATAATAAACAGTATCAAAATTGTACCTAAATATCTTAAGCAATAATCCCTAGATGACCTGCGATAGATGCTGTGCTATCATTTCCTCCAAATAAAGTAAGAATTTTGTTTAATTCGGGTTACTAAGTAAAATCATTATGCATTTTTAATTTTTGTAAACCTTCTAGCCAGTAAATTCAGTATTTATGCTACTGGGGTCCACAATCCACCATCATCAGATTCAATCTTTACTTTTTGATCCTTTTTTGTCCTTATTTTTTTTGGGATGAAACCAACTACCTGCTCCCTCGACCCCAACACTACCCCTCTCCTTACCTTCCAGCTCCACGTCATTGCCCCCTACTCACAGACATCATAAACCTCTCCCTGTCCACTGGCACCGTTCCCACCCCTTTAAAAACGTCCGTCATCATTCCTATTCTTCAAAATCCTTGCCTGGACCCAGCCCTGCTCTCAAACTACTGCCCCATCTCTAACCTCACTTTCCTGGAATGAATTGTTGCTTCCCAGCTTCGCTCCTTCCTCTTACATCATTCCCTTCACAAACCCTCCAATCAGGTTTCTGTGCCACCCACAGCACAGAAACAGCCCTGGTCAAAGTGACAAATGACATTTTGTCCATCTGCGACCATGGGTCCCTCTGCCTCATCATCCTCCTTGATCTCTCTGCTTTCGCTTTCTTCCACCTCCGACGCATCGCCCGTCTCTGCCAATACCTCTCTCCGAAAGCTGCAGAAACCCTTTGTCACCTCTAGGCTGGACTATTCAAACACCCTTCTCGCCGGCCTCCCCTCCACTATCATCTAGAAAATCCAGATTATTCAAAACTCTGCTGCCCGCATTCTCACCCGCACCAAACTCCGCTCCCTGATCACCCCAGTCCTTGCCAGACTGCACTGGCTGCCTGTCCCAGAGAGGATCGACTTCAAGATCCTCACCCTTGTCTTCAAATCCCTCCACTCAGCACCTGTCCAGTGCCTTGGGACATCCTCCCGATGTGAAAGGCAATACAAATGTAATTTTGTTGTTGTTGTAGCAAAATTTTGTTGTCCTTTTTGATTGTGCTTCATTAGCAACAACTACTACTTCCATCTATATAGCACCCTTCACATGGGGCAGCATTTTGCAGCACTTAAATGTTAATGCCAAAAACTGTTGAATAAGAGAAGGGAATAGAATGGTATGTATGGGAGTAAGAAGTGGGTGGAGTTTAAATTCCGTTTTGGACTAGTTGGACCGAATGGCCTGTTTCTGTACTGTAACTTCTATATAAATCTATATCCAAAGTTCATACGAAAGACCAGTAGGGTAGAGCTGAGATCAAGAAGCTTGACTAAATGGTGATTCCTTGTGAGAAATCCTTCAATCACTGTTGTTCTCCATTACAATCTGTTGTACAATTAAAAGTTAAATGATTGTGATTTAACAATACTGTACTGTGATAGCCAAATTGCTGAATTCCCAATTTCAACCTTCATTTTCTGGTAATGATGGAGTTCTGCCTCAGAGGAAACTTGAAATCAGTGCAGCTCCTAGAACCTGTCTCATGGTGATGTATACAGTTTCCAGATGTGTGGATTCCAGTGATGTATGAGGCAACAGGAACAAGTGAACAACTTTTGCGATCATTTCGCCCACAAAATACACAGTCAATCAACCTTAAATTCTGTGAAGCGCTTTGAGACATCTCAACGACATGATAAAGCAGTATATCAAATGCAAGGATGATTATTATTATTATTATTTCAGGCTATTATTATTTGAGTCTTCTTGGAAAGTGATTTCATCTAACACAGCAGGTAATTCTAAAGGTCTCTAATTCAGCAAGACAAGAGGAATCCTCATTATGGAATAAAACACACAATCTGGATGATGATGGGGCTGAATGGCCTTTTCTTATTCCTACTTATGAGACCACTATAATGTTATACAGCTAATGATACCAGACTGTTATTTAAAAATATTTGAACTGGGGCATCTTAGTCCACATCATGGAGTCCAGTAGCTCAGTGGTTAGAGCATTCACCTCGCAAGTGAGAGGACTTGGGTTCGATTCCTGGACAGGGTGAAATGTTGGACAACATTCCTTACTCCACACGCCTGTTTACCTAGCAGTAAATAGGAATCCAGTTGTTAGTCGATTGTCGGATCGCCTTTCCAGGGGTAATAATCTCTTCAAAAAAAGGAGCAATTGGCTGTCGCGTTTTGCCCACAAAAACAGTCAATTCACTTTACAGTTTATTCTTTTGAGACATCTTAAAGATGTTATAAGGCGCTATATCAATTGCAAGGATTATTATTAATAGTAGTTGTAGTATTCCACTTTAATTCATTTCATCGTGCTCAGTTATTTCTGTGGCTTTTGGCCACATTTAATAGGCAGCACTGTATACCTGTGTCCAATAAACCTAAAAGTCATTATATGTACAATGAAAGATCTTTGAGTTAAAAATACCTTGTTTCATAATGTTTTAATCTCCAAATTGCTTTTCAACTAAAAAGGTGGTCCAATGGCTAAAAAAAAATCTGTGGGAAGAATAAGAGTTATAATTTTAAAAAACTTTTAACAATATTTTAAAATAATCCTGCCCCCCTTCTAATTGGCTTTAACTGAATTGCAATACCATCATACATGAGCTGTATTTTCATGAATGCCTTTACATTCGTAATTTTGTTGTTGTTGTTGATAGTGTTTTACAATATTATAGTAATAGATTTGTTTTTAATATTATTTGTGTTGTATTGTAACTTTTGTATGTGAATTTTATATCTTTGGCCTGGAAATTGTACATATTCACCAGCTACTTTTTCCTGGTTCAGTTGGTAACACTCATTTCTGAGTCAGAAGGGTGGGGGCAGTGGGTAAAGTGAGGACTTGAGGTCACGCATCTGGCAGATACTCCAGTGCAGTGCTGGGAAGTGTGCATTGTCAGATATGCCGACCTTCAGATGAGATGTTAAACCAAGGTTCCATCTGCTTGTTCAGGTGGACGTAAAAGATCCCATGGCACTATTCAAAAAGGGAAGGGAGTTTCTCCTGGTGTCTTGGGCAACATCTTCCAAATAAATTGGTCACTCACTTCATATCTGTATGTGGGTCATTGCCTTGCACAAATTGGTTGCCCAGTTAACCTACAAGTACAGTTGTTACATTTGACAATAATTCCCTATGAAGTGCTTTGATATATATTGATGCAATGGGCGTTACATCAAATGCTATAATGGCTGCTGTTGCTATAATTGAATCTCAAAATTTGGCTCCTGCAGGAGTGCAACACTGGACCATGCAACAGACAACACAAAAATCATTAGCAGGGAGATACTACACATGTTCCGCATGATGAAGCTCAGTATAACAGACATGAGAGGGGTGAGTTTAAAAATTTCTGTTTAGAATTAGTCTGTAGCATTTTAAATAATATCACTATTTTTATAGGTACAATAGATTAACTAATCTGTGTAATGAGCAAATTAGATTTGGTTTTTATAGGCTGATATATTTTACGTTTCTTGTAAAGCCAGAGTAGAATACCAGTGGAGGTTTGAAATCAAGTTCTATCTGCGTTTGGAGAGAGATAAGCAGGGTTATCTTGTGCCTGATCTAGCTCCAAGTGACATGCTTGGCAATGGAATATTAGAATTGAGTCGATCATCTATGGCAGTCTTGGTAGTCTAGTTCTTGTGCCATGTAGGTCTGCCCGTAGTACTTAAAGGTACTGCTAACCAGCCAGCCTGGCTTGTTACCAAGACTTGGAGGGACACACCAGTCTTGTTAACTCTGCTAACCTTTTGGGTAGGGAGGTTGTAGCTTGACAAGCAGCAGGAAGCTTGCCAGACAGTGCTCACAATGGCAAGTTATGTGGTTTTTGTTAGTTAAGCAGGATGTGTCCCTCCATGGAGAATGTATATTCCATTTCAGGCAAATTCAAAATTTCCATACATAGGCAGTGGGCATATATGTAAAAAAACTGGTTTGGATACATTTACTCATGGTGATGGGTTTCCACATGTGCCAGACTCCAGGCTGACCAAAATAAATTAAGTCCAATAGACAGAATTATCTTTATCATCCCTCTATCTCCTTCCTCATTCCGACAAAAAATAGCAAGTACAGGAAACTGTACGTCATTAATCTCTTAAATTCAGTGCTGGTCCTTGAACTTATCCACCAGCTGATGTCCTTAATTTGTTCTTCAGATTCTCTTCCCCCCACCACCACCCCCCCAGCCTGGTCACTGAATTATTTTAGTTGGGAACTTTTGCTATGTATAAACTATTTGTCCAGAATTGTACATTTTTACAGTTCCAAAGAAAATGCTGTTTTCCTTAGTGGGTGAATACACTTCCAACGTGAAACTGAGCTACAGACCACAAATGGTCCGATGGTTTATCCCTATTCCAATTTTGCTAGCCAATTTCAGCCAGCTCAGCTATGGAGCCAATTACCATGCCACAAAGTATACTTTTGTGAATATCAGTGAGGATGGGCTTGTGCTCAGCTGTGATGTCCCCATGGGTAAATAGCCTACTGACATTCACTGTCAAGCCTTACAATGGAATAAGACCACTTGAGTTAGATACTAAATGGGGTCTGGCACTCATGGAATTATATGCCAGTATTTGTACAGTGTACAGTGCTTTTCAGGAAAGGTATTGCACAAAAGTTACACTTACCAATTTTGCATTAGGTTGACCATAGGAAAACGTTCTTTTACTCCAAGGTTCAATGGACATCAGAAAGTGTGGGAAAGTATAATTTTATTTTGTGTGTGCATCAGAGTTGATTCAAATTACACAGACATTTCTACTCGTATAAAACATTTTCCTGTGTGGAGCTTAGCGGTTAGAGCACTCGCTTTGGAAGCAAGAGGACACAAAATATACAGTCAATTCACTGTACAGTATATCATGTGAAGTGCTTTGAGACATCTTGAAGACGTGATCAGGCACTATATCAAATGCAAGGGTTATTATATAGGACCTGGTTCAATTCCCGGGCAGGGCGAAACGTTGGGCAAGTTTCCTTACTTCACACGTTTACCTAGCGGTAAGTAGGAACCCGGTTGTTAGTCAATTGGCAGATCACTTTTCCGGGATAATAATCCCTTAAAACATAATTTTGGTCACTTAATCTACGACTGTTTGTGGGACACTACTGTGCGCAATTGGCTGCCAAGTTTCATCCGCAAAACACACAGTCAATTCACTTTACAGAATATTGTGTGAAGCGCTTTGAGACGTCTAGAAGACGTGATTAGGCGCTATATCAAATGCAATCGTTATTATTATTTCGTATTATTTCTAAGCATCTGAAAGAATAGAAAAGTTGTGCACCAGAAACATTCGTAATTTGTATAAAATACTCTTGAGAAATGAATAAAATGTGGAGTTATTTTAACATCAAATTGTATATCATGGAACCTTTTTATGTTTTTTTCTTTTTTTTAGGTTGGAATCCACATGCATCAGTTGGTTCCAGTTACTAAAACTTCAGTAAATCCTTTTACGTCTTCCTTTGTGCGGAATAGTTGCTGTACAGGGCCCTCACACTCAGTGATAGACCTATTACAGAATATCAACTCAAAGAAACCTGTGGATCACAAGCTTTCAGGTTAGCAGGTGTAAGAACATATTATCCAATTGGAATGCATGCATTGATTGACACATGGAGGAACCCATCACCATACTTAAACGTATTCAAACCAGACTGGAGTTCCATATATGCCACTAAACAGGGACATTCTTCCTATAGGCCCTTCCAAGTTCTGCTGATGAACCAGGCTAGCCAGTCTGTCATCAGAAGTGCCCTGGAGTACTTAGCCCCTGGACAAGGTTTCCTTCAACGGGACAGACATGTTAAAATTTGAGGAATCATGTTTTTGACAAGTATTGCAATGTTAGCAGAAATAAAAAAACATAGAGCAAAATGAACCTTCAGAATGAAAATGTAATTTCCGGTACATGCTTACCTAATTTTGTAGAAGATTAGGCACATGTTGGCAAGAGCCAAGGCTTGTGAGCTCCCAGAAAGTGCCTCAGGGTCCTGTTGGGGTTTAATCATCTAAAATTGCTGAGCTTGCCGAAATCTCTATCTGGCGAGCTTCCAGCTAGGACCACCCTATCCATTAGGGCTTTGGCTTGCAGAATCAAAAGATTCAGCTCCTGTATAATAATAATAAATAATAATATACACTTTGTTTGGCTGTACACTAATATTATATACTTTTAATTTGCTGTACATGAATATATTGTTATTTTATTCTTGGTGTAGCTAATAATGACATTGTGGATGAGAACCAATTTCCTACAGTTAAATGTTGACAAGATGGAGGCCCTCCTGCTTGGCTCCCATCATTGCATCCTCACCTCAGGCGCTGACGGCATCAGTATTCATGGATGCACTCTCTACCTCACTGAGCCAGTACGGAACCTTGGGGTCTTGTTCAATTCTCAACTGTCCTTTAAACCCTACATCCGTGCCATTATTCGTTCTGCCTTCCCCTACCTCCACAGCATTGCCCGCCTCTGCCACTATCTCTCCCCTCAGGTTGCTGAAACCCTCATCCACGCTTTCATGACGTCCAGGTGTGACTATGCTAACTCCTTGATTGCCGGAATAACCAACTCTTCCCTTCACAAGCTGCAGATTATTCAGAACTCTGCAGCTCGTGTCCTCTCTGGCACTAAGCTTCATGAGTCGATCACCTCCATCCTCGCCTGGCTTCACTGTCTCCCCATCACCCCATAGGATCGAGTTCAAGATTCGTGTCCTCACCTTTAAGACCCTCCATGGTCTTGCTGCTCCCTACTTTGCAATCTACTAAACCTTTCCAACCTGTTTGCTTGTTCTGCTCGGCGGGCACTGGCCTGGTCCACTTTCCATGGCGGTCAAGCCTTCAGCCATTCTGCCCCCACCCTTTGGAACTCCATCTCAGAGCCCCTTCGGCTCACCCCCTCCCTTGCCTCTATTTGAAGACCTTCCTTATCGACCGTGCCTTTGGTCATTTTCCCTCCACCACCCCTCTCGCATTCCACTTATCTCTGATCATTGTCCAGCACCTTGGGACGTCCTCGGGCGCTATATAAATGCAATTTGCAATCTGGAAAATAAAAATCTGGGGTAGAGGACCAAAAGGACCTAGGGGTACACATACACAATTCACTAAAAGTAGCAATGCAGGTTAATAAGGCCATACAAAAGCAAACCAGGCATTGGGGCTCCTTTCTAGAGGGATAGAAATAAAAAGCAGGGAAGTTATAGTAAACTGCTATAGAAACTTGGTTAGACCACACTTACAACACTGTGCAGTTCTGGTCCCCACATTATAGAAGGGCTGTAGAGGCACTGGAGAAGATGCAAAGAAGATTCACAAGGATGATCCCAGAACTGAGAGGTTATACCTATCAGGAAAGGCTGAACATGCTTGGACTCTTTTCTCTTGAAAAAAAGGAGGGTAAGGGGTGACCTGATAGAGGTCTTCAAAATGATGAAAGGTTTTGATAGGGTAGACATAGGAAAGATGTTTCCACTTGTGGGGCAGACCAAAACCAGGGGCCATCAATATAAAATGGTCACAAATAGATCAAATAGGGAAGTTAGAGGAAACTGCTTCACACAGAGAGTAGTGGGAATGTGGAATATGCTACTACAAGTAGTTGTGGAGTCCTGTAGCTCAGTGGTTAGAGCACTCGCTTTGCAAGCGAGAGACCTGAGTTCAATTCCAGGCAGGGCGAAACCTTGGGCAAGTTTCCTTACTCCACACGCCTAATAATAATCCCTCCAAAACCAAAAACAATAATAAATTGGTCATTTTCAATCTACGACTGTTTGTGGGACATTGCTGTGCGCAATTGGCTGCCGCGTTCGCCCACAAATATACAGTCAATTCACTTTACAGTGTGTTCTGTGGAGCGCTTTGGGACGTCCTCCCGACGTGAAAAGCGCTATATCAAATGCAAGGATTATTATTATTATTATTATTATTATTGTTGAGGCAAATAACATAGATGTATTTAAGGGAAAGCTAGATAGGTACATGAGGGAGAAAGGAATAGAAGGCTATGCTTGAAGGCTTAGTTGAGGAAGGACAGGAGGAGGTTCAGAATCATTAGAATCATTGATTAAGGATGTGGTAGTGCGGTATTTAGGGGAGCACAATATAATTAGGCCAAGTCAACATGGCTTTACAAAAGGGAAGTCATGTTTGACAAATCTCATAGAGTGAGGATATTTCCAGTAAACTAGATAAGGGTGAATCAGTGGATGTGGTCTATTTGGACTTCCAGAAGGCATTCGATAAGGTGCCACATAAAAGGTTAGTCCAAAAGATAAGGGCCCATGGAATTGGGGGGAGCATATTAACGTGGATTGGAGAATGGTTAATGGGTAGGAAACAAAGAGTAGGGATAAACGGGTCCTTTTCAGATTGGCGGATGTGACTAGTGGAGTGCCACAAGGATCAGTCCTTGGGCCTCAGCTATTTACCATCTACATCAACGATCTAGATGAGGACATCGAAGATAATATATCTAAATTCGCGGATGACACAAAACTAGGAGGAAGTGTCAACACAGAGGATGACATTAAAAAAATGCAGCGAGACATAGATAGGTTAGGTGATTGGGCAGGTAGGTGGCAGATGAAGTATAATGTAGGGAAGTGCGAAGTCATCCACCTAGGTAGCAAAAACAGTAGAGCGGGTTATTTTTTAGAAGGGGAGAGATTGGAATGTGTTAGCGTCCAGAGGGACTTGGGTGTCCTTGTACACCAATCACAGAAAGTTAGTCTGCAGGTGCAGCAGCAATTAGGAGGACGAACGGTATGTTAGCATTCATTATGAAAGGATTAGAGTATAAAAGTAGGGAAGTCTTGCTGCAACTGTATAGGGCCCTGGTGAGAGCACACCTGGAATACTGTGTGCAGTACTTGCCTTGGAGGGAGTGCAGCGCAGATTTACTAGATTAGTACCAGGGATGAACGGGATGAGTTACGAGGATAGGCTGACCAATTTGGGCCTATATTCTCTAGAATATAGAAGAATTAGAGGATTATAGAGAAATCTATAAGATCATCAAAGGGCATGATAGAGTAGATAGTGGGAGATTGTTTCCCCTGGTTGGAGAAACTAAAACCAGAGGCCAGCCCTTTCACACTGAGTTGAGAAAGAACTTCTTCACTCAAAGGGTGGTGAATGTATGGAACTCACTACCCCAAAGGGCTGTTGACGCTCAGTCCTTGAACATATTCAAGACTGAGATAGATATATTTCTTATTGCAAAAGGGATTAAGGGATATGTGGATAAGGCAGGGTTAGGTTATTAGCTGGAGTTAGATTAGAAGATCAGCCATGATTGAATGGCGGGGCAGGCTCGAAGGGCCGAATGGCCTACTCCTGCTCCTACATTTTATGTTAGCATAAACAGCGGCATAGAGCAGTTGGGCAGAATGGCCTGTTTCTGTGCTGTATATTCTAATGTATTCTAATTCATTGTTGTTACTATGATCTAAACAAAACATTGGAATAGTTCTTGCTTTGCAATTCAGCTTATTCTATTTCTTTACTTGTATAGTATAATCAAACATTCCTCCCTGATATGGAAGCCATAAGTCATTGACGTATACATAGTTTCTGAATTATGTAGCTTTTGTAATGTTGTGTATTTAACTATCCAATGTGCAGTATCTATTTATTATTTCAGCCCTGATTGTTCTGCTTCTCCATTTATATTATTCAGACCAAGATTGTATATGGAAAAAGACAGAAATAGTTGAAAAAGGTGGTCCTATTTTGCTTTCACCTGATCAAGACATTGGGTTCAATAATACAGAAACAGCCGTAAAAGCTGGTGGACTGCACACCCCTGAAAACGTGGCTGCCCGAAAGTTGCGACTTGACTTAAGTATTGAAGTGCCATCCCCTTCCCAGGTATGACATCCAAATATTATTGCATAAACCACATGCACATTCTACACTTCTGGTCTTTGAATCTATGCCAGTCTGATGACATTAAGAATGAAATGATTTCTCATTTGAATAAATAGTTTTGTTTTAAGGTGCACTTCAGGAGGATCACCTCCATTTTCAATGGGTCACTGCTTCTTAACATGCACAACTTCACTATTTTATAATCTCACTTTAAAAGAGAGCAATAACAAAAAATTACATTTATATAGTGGTTTCACAACAGGAGGATGTCTGAAAGCACATCAAACATCTGTCTGGGAGCCTGAGCTGCAATACTCTGAAATGTTAACCGATTCTACAAATTGCCTACAAAATACTCAGTCATGACTGTTTACAGTCTATCATGTGAAGTGCTTTGAGGTGGCCTCCTGACATGAAAGACACAAGATCAAGTGTAAGGATTATTATGAGGATTATTATATTATTGTTATTGCTTATGATCTGGGCCAACAGAAAAATGCGGCCGCAATTTTGCCTCGGAATCCGCTATAAACAGCTAAAAGATGAAGATTCTGGCGCCCAAATCTCTCGCACTGCTGCCGGTTTTTAATCCGATATTACTGTGGGCAGAGCGGCTCTGGTCGCATATGTGCAGCGCAAGCAGGAAATGGGCTTCACTCCACTCGAAGGCCCCGCTGTTGAGATTATAATAATAATAATAATAATAATCCTTGCATTTGATATAGCGCTTTTCACGTCGGCAGGACATCACAAAGCGCTTCACAGAACACACTGTAAAGTGAATTGACTGTATATTTGTGGGCGAACGCAGCAGCCAATTGCGCACAGCAATGTCCCACAAACAGTCGTAGATTGAAATGACCAATTTATTATTGTTTTTTTTTGGAGGGATTATTATTAGGTTCTGTGTGGAGTAAGGAAACTTGCCCAAGGTGTCGCCCTCTGCCTGGAATTTAACTCACGTCTCTCGCTTGCAAAGCGAGTGCTCTAACCACTGAGCTACAGGACTCCTATTATCTGTGTGTCTCTCTTTCGCTCTCTCTCTCCTCTCTCTGTGTGTTTGTGAGTGTCTCTATGTGAGTGTGTGTCTCTCCTCTGTATGTGTTTGTGAGTGTATGTGCGCGTTTCTTTCTCTCTATGTGTATGTTTGTGAGTATCTAGGTGAGTGTGTTGCCTTTCTATGTGTGTCTGTTTGTGAGTGTCTTTGCGTGAGTGTGTGTGTCTCCTCTGTATGTATGTGTTTGTGAATGTATCTGTGTGACTCTTGTTTATGTGTGTGTGTTCATGAGTGTCTCTGTGTGAGTGTGTATATGTGTCTCTCTCTCCTCTGTGTGTGGGTGTGTATGTCTCTTGTGTCTATAAGTGTGTGTGTCGCTAAAGTATGTGTCTCTCTCTGTGTCTCTGAGAGTGTGGCTCTGTGTGTGTGTGTGGCTCTCTCTGTGTCTCTGCGAGTGTGTAACTCTCTCTGTGTCTGTGTGTCTCTCTCGATGTCTGTATGTGGTGCTGTGCCCTGCGAGGCAGGAGGTGGTGAGCTCCTGTAGCCCCACAGTCAGGACACTGGTCCTGTGTGTTTTTTTTGGCGGATATCCAGGGCCGCTGGGGTTTCCCCTCCCCCCATCCCCCCAATAGGTCACCCAGGTTTTGTTGAAGAAAAAATTAATTTAAAGAAATTGCAACAATCTAATGTGTTATTTCCTCATATTTAGTTTTTATCAATAAAGTGAAAAATGTAGGTTGGCAGGAAACATACCTCAATAGTACTAATCAACCCCTGCAAGATCTGGCAAATATATCCACACTTTTCTTTTGGCCCAGCTTATGACATCCTCACTAATTGAGAATACATATGAAGCTCCTCCTTACCCTCCATTTCATGAAAAGCCCTTTGTGTATTTTTTAAAGAAAGCAGAATTTTAATCAAATATATTTCTGAAATCAACAATGTAGAATTGTTTCAAGAGATATTTCAGTCGAAGGTTCTATCATTTTGAATACTGAATGAACCTTGTAGAATTCAAAATACACGGTGACCTTTGTTAATGGTATGAAGTAGAAAATTTCCAAGTTTGCTTTACGCTAAATATCAATTGGAATTAAAGAAATGTACAGATTTACCAGATATTTCTTCGTAGAATAAATGGCAATGAATTATCAAAATTACATTTTCTTTCAGAGGAGAAATATTTCTGTAGTTCTCAAACAGTTAAAACCGTTTCCAAAAAAAATTAACTTCATATATTTCTATTTAAGAGATCCATTAAGGGTAAGGATGCTTTAGTCTTGATAAGTAAATTAGTCAGCATTACAGTTGTGAAATGTAATGCATATAATGTACTATGATTTGCAGCATCATTAAATATTGCATTTCGGAATCTTTTCATTCCCTTGATTTTCTTAATGGTCCACCAGCAGATCTGGCTGGACCACATCAAAAGGTACCGCTCTGCCATCACCTCCGCCAAATCGTCCTTCTACTCCAAGATAATCTTGGAGGCGAAGGACAACCCCAGGCTCCTATTCTCCACCACCAACCTGCTTCTCTGTCCACCCTCGTCCATTCTCTCCTCAAACTCTGACTGGAGATGCTGAATTTCCTCGAGTCCAAAATCGCGGGCATCTGTTCAGCTGCCTCCGCCCTCCCAACCGCCACTCCCTCCCTATCTCGCCCCAACACTCCGACCCCTATCCATCCCTCTCTCTACATCTGCGAACCTGTCTCTTCCTCCTCTCTCATCACCACCATATCCAACATGAAACACACCACCTGCTCCCTTGACTCTATCCCCACCCCTCTCCTTACCTCCCAGCTCCACCTCCTCGCCCCTCTATTCTCCAACACCATCAATCTCTCCCTATCATCTGGCACCATTCCCATCCCCCTAGAAACAGCTACAATCACCCCCATCGTGAAAAAACCTTCCCTGGATCCATCCCTGCTTTCTAACTGCTGGCCCATCTCCAACCTCCTTTTTCTTTCCAAGGTCCTTAAAAGAGTCGTTGTTTCCCAGCTTTGCTCCTTCCTTTCCTACCACTCCCTTCACAAACCACTCCAATTGGGTTTCCATGCTGCTCAAAGCTGGTCAAGTTTCGGCAGTCAAGGTGACAAACGACATGGGGTCAACTTGTCCATCTGTGACCAGGGTTTCCTCTGCCTCCTCGTCCTACTCGACCTCTCGATACCATGGACCACTCCATCCTCCTCCACCTCCTCTCCTCTCACCTCAGCCTTCAAGGTTCTGTCCTTAAATGGTTTCTCTTCCAGCCCCAGCACAGTCTCGTGTGGTGTTCCTCAGGGCTCTGTCCTTGGTCCACTCCTCTTTAACCTCTATATGCTTGGTGACATCATCCACAGACATGGAGTCAACTTCCTGACAGACTGTCTGTCTGACATCAAGACCTGGATGAGAGCTAACTTTCTACAGCTCAATATCAGCAAGACCGAGGCCCTCCTGATTGGCTTGTGCCAGCGCCTCAGCACTTCAGACACTGGCAGCATCAGCATCCACGGTTGCACACTCCACCTCATCAAGCCAGTCAGGAATCTGGACATCTTGTTCAACCCTCAACTATCATTTCTCTCCTATATCCATGCCATGACCTGTTCTGCCTTCCCCCACCTCCGCAACATTGCCCGACTCCGCTACTACCTCACCCCTCAGGCCACCGAAACTCGCATACATGCATTTGTCACCTCAAGCTTCGACTATGGAAACTCCTTCCTTGTCGGCCTCCCCAACTCTTCCCTCCACAAGCTGCAGATCATCCAGAACTCTGCAGTTCGTGTCTTCTCCCACATCAGGCTCTGTGACCCCATCAGCCCCACCCTCGCTCGGCTCCACTGACTCCCCATCCCTCAGAGGATAGACTCCGGCCTGCTCCAGGTCTCCCGCCGACCCACTCTATCATCAATGACTGGGCTAACAGCCTCTCTGCTCCCACTCTTTGGAACTCCATCCCACAATCCCTTCGCTTTGCTCTCTCTCTTGCCTCCTTCATGGCACGACTCCTTTTTGATCGTGCCTTCAGCTGACCTCCTATGCCCTCTGCCCTCCCTCATCCCACCCCTGCCCACCCACGCTCGGGTCCTGATCCCTGACTGTTCAGCGCCTTGGGACGTCCTCCCGATGTGAAAGGCGCTTTACAAATGTGATTTTGTTGTTGTTGTTGTCGTTAAATGGTTCAGGTCTTATCTCTCACAACGTCTCCAATTTGTCTCCACCAACAGTTTCTTTTCCAGCCTCGTACAATCTTGTGTGGTGTTTCTTAGCTCTGTCCTCGGTCCCCTTCTCTTCAACCTCCACATGCTTCCTCTTGGTGACATCGTCTGCAGACATGGGGTCAACTTCCACATGTACGTGGATGACACCCAACTCTATCTCTCTCTCGCCATGGTCGATTCCAGGACACGTAACAACCTGACAGACTATCTGTCTGACATTAAGCCAACTTTTCTACAGCTAAATGTCAGCAAGACCGAGGCCCTCCTGATTGGCTTGTGCCAGCGCCTCCGCATCTCAGGCACTGGCAGCATCAGTATCCATGGTTCATGGCTCGACTCAAGACCCTCCTTTTCGACCGTGCCTTTAGCTGCCCTCCTACCTCTCTGCCGTCCCTCATCCCAACCCTGCCCCCCACTCTCAGGTCCTGATTCTCAACTGTTCAGCGCCTTGGAACATCCTCCTGACGTAAAAGGCGTTTTACAAATGTAATTTTGTTGTTGTTTTTTCCTGGTTGGGAAGAATCTTGTGCAACAAAAGAATGGAACCTAAGAATCTGTCTGCAGAAAACAGTTCGGTCGTTGATTTTCTCTGGGATTTTTCTTTTTTTTAGATCGATCCTTTTGTTTTGGAAGCACTTCCTGCAGATATTCGACAACAAGTGGAACAGTCATGCTCAATCCGACAGCAAAGCCTTACTGATAACAATGGTATCAAAGAGCCAGAGAATGGCAGTATTACTGGGCGTGTCGATGTGGCAGTAGGTACAGTCACTCTAGAACTGCCAGGACCTCAAGAACAAAACGCCACTGCTGGAATTACTGTAGCTCTTCCAGCTTTTTCACAGGTGAAGAGACAATTCCTTTTATTGTTTTTATACTGTATTCCACAGAATGTCTTTGAATTCTGAAGAAACTCGATTTGTAAATGCTGAGCAAGTTCCTGCATTTATGCTTTATAGCTGCATTTCCATTATGTAAAAAATGTTAACTTTTGTTTAAACTTCAGGTTGATCCTGAGGTCTTTTCTGCATTACCCACTGACGTTCAAGAAGAACTAAGAGCCGCTTATGATCAAAGATATCGACAGGGTGAGAATACCAGCAGAAACCATCACCTTGCTGGTGCCAGTATGTACTCTTGAATTACATTTTTTTAGGCTATCTGGCATATTAACCTAACTTCATGAAAGTAACTCATTTGAATGTAAATATAAATTTTATGTTTGTTTGTTTATATATATGTACAAAATAAATGCAATTAGAATTATTCTCAATGTGTGAACATTAATGTTTATTTGCATAGATTGCGTCATTTTACAATGTATTTATTTACAGAGCATACAAACTTGCTTGTAATCAATTGGTTACCAAGACTGAAAAAACATTTACTCTGAAGGAAAATATCCTGAAACATATTTACTAGTAAAATGAATAGTCTTAAGTCCTTACAAAGAATTGCAAAGAAACGTAAGCATAGAACAAGAAAAGGCCCCAAACATTGTGTAACTTGATTTGTTTTATAAATTGTACTTAGAAAACAGTTTAACTTCCTTAAGAAAGGTCCTATAAAGTGACTCCCTGCCCACTAAAGGTAACTCTAGAATCAGTCACTGCATAACCTGTATCTTCTTGTCCTTCGCCACTCAGCCACACCTTTATTCTCCTACAAAGATGTTCCTCTAAGCATTCTATCACAGAACTTATTCTTAAAGGCAGAAATTATTTAAAATTTGCAGTAGTTTTTAAAAAACAATGAAAATTAATGTACTTGAGAGGGTTTGCAGCAACTTTTCTCTGCTCTCTCTCTCTCTCCCTTCCCCCCACTAATTACTGAGTTCATGGCTCTTCTGTTTTGTCTCTGCTGTAGGCAGCCTAGCTGCCCGCCCTGAGATAAGCTTAACTGACCTATAATTTGCTGGGGTTTCCCTGTCTCCTTTTTTTTGAAGAAGCGTCTGTGAGATTTGACAATCTCGAGGCCTCTGGCACAGTTTTATTCCAATGAATTTTGGAAAATTCTAGATTGAGCCTTCACTATTTCTTCCTTGGGTTCTCTCAGGTCCTCCAAAGTAAATCATCGGTTCGTGAAATAGATGATTAGAGCACAGGAAACAACAACAAAATCACATTTGTATAGTGCCTTTCACTATACTATGTAGGACATCCCAAGGCATTGGACAATCAGTGTTTTGTACCTGAGCTGGGGATCGGGGAGGGTGTAGGGCAGGGGGTGAAGGCGAGTGACCAAAGGCACGGTCGAACAGGAGGGTTTTGAGATGGGTCTTGAAGGAGGCCAGGGAGGGGGTGAGGAGGAGGGACTGTGGGATGGAGTTCCAGAGGGTGGGGACAGAGTGGCTGAACACCTGCCCGCAGATTGGTAGGGGGTAAGGATGTCGCAGAGGTAGGGGAGAGTAAGACTATTGAGGGCTTTGAAAGTAAGGACCAGGATCTTGAACTGTATCGTTTGTGTGATAGGAAGCCAGTGAAGTCATGCGAGGATGGGGGTGATAGGGTCGCGGAGCCTGATGCGGGAGAGGACACGGACTGCAGAGTTCTGGTTGATCTGCAGCCTAGTTGGGGAGGCCGGCAAGCAGGGAGTTTGCATAGTCAAGCATGGATGTTACGAACGCGTGAATGAGGGTCTTGGCAGCCTACGGTATAAGACAGTGGCGGAGCTGAGCAATGCTGCGGAGGTGGGGAGAGGCAGAGCCGGTCATGGCACAGCTGTGGGGTATGAAGTACAGTTAGGGTTTGAACAGGACCCCTAGGTTCCGAATTTGGCTCCATGAAATATAGAGTGCATCCATGGAGGGAGGTGCTGTCAGCGCCCGAGGTATGGATGCGCTGACAGGAGCCAAGCAGGAGGGCCTCAGTCTTGTTGACATTCGACTACAGGAAGTTGGCTATCATACAGGACTTGATGTCCGACAGACAGTCCTTGAGAACAGCAGTGGTCCTGGAATCGAGGGTGGAGGCAGAGAGGTACAGTTGGGTGTCATCCGCATACATGTGGAAGTTGACCCCATGTCTGTGGATGATGTCACCAAGTGGGAGCATATAGATATTGAAAAGGAGAGGTCCAGGAAAGATTATGCTCCAGCTGCTTTAAGGGAAGTTTTCAGAAGATTGAAAAAGGAAATCCAGACATTTCTTGCATGACTTGCTGCAGATTTAAATGAACAACACTCTCCTAGAACATTGAAATACAGAGATTGATTTCTGTAACTACATTTATTTACAGTTTAAGAAGACTATATGTTTTAAAGTCCTCTTAAATATTGAAAGTTTATATTAAGATAAGTTCTAAACAAAAGACTTAGCAGCACTGTTGTTTTTAAACAATTATGATCTGGCGCCTTTATGTCAAATGGACATCTCAAAGCATTTCATAGGATTTACTGTAAAGTGCAGTGACTACATTTTGTTTGCAAGCACAGCAGCCAATTTGCTTAAGGCTATGTCCAGCAAACAGCCTTGAAGTGAATGACCAATTTTATCTGGGTTTGTTGGCCAGGACACTCCCTTCTATTTTCAAGTAAGGCCATGGAATCTTTAACGTCCACCTGAACAGGTAAACTAGATCTCGGTTTAACATCTCACCCGAAACATGACATCTCCGATAATGTAGTACACCCTCAACATGCATGATAGGACTGTTGCTTTTAGTCTATGGTTTATTCTTGGTTGTTTGGAAATGAAACTGCTGATATGTTAACCATGAAGGAAGATCATTCCTACAGTGAAATGTTCTCTATTTCATATTTTCATCTGATTACTCCTATGATCTGTTATTTTTGATCTCTTTAAACCTGGCAATTACAGTGTTCATATTTTGCAAAGGAAAATGACAGTAAATCAGCATTAAATTGGCTGGTATAACTTCTCTATCAATATTTCTGTATCTGGAATCTGCATGGTAATTGAGATTATGGATTGATCTGTAAGATATTACACTCTGTTTCAGTTGTGAAGAATCCACTGCTGCAACTGAAGCACGCTGTTCCCGAAAAATCTAAACGAAGGTTCAAAAGAAAAAATCAAGCCAGTCCAATTAAAGTTCAGAGTCCTCTTAAAAATAGGTTACTGGGCAGCCCATCAAAAGCCAAGTCTTCTACGACTGGGAATCCACAGATAGTATTACCTGACACGATCAGACATGAACAGCAAGTTACAGAAAAATTGCCGGTAACGTTTTTCAATTTACCTTATGTGGTTCACTGACAGTTAAATTGATACTATTCATCTGTGCAAATACATTTGTATTCTTTTATACTTAACTAACTTCTGCTTATTATGCACAAGGTAATTATAGATCCGGTCTTTAACAATATCTTAAACCTACAAAGGTTTTATCATCCTAACGTGAAAATTTCGCCATAGCAGCAATTCTAGCCAGCTTCAGTAACATGATTATTATTAGTATATTATCTAGTTCACTCCAAGTCATTGCTTTTTATTTTTTTGCAGGTTGAACCTTGTGCTTCAACATCAAGCTACCAGGCTGCATTCTCCTCCCAGCATGAGATCTATGTTGACTCAGTCTATCTGAGAGCTAACCTCGCTGGAGCCTATGTGCTGAAAGACGTCAAATCACTTATAAAAGAATGGGTTACAACTACTGCAGGTATGCCTTGACTTTTAAATGTTGCTTCCTTAATAACTACTGCAGAGTACAGTTATTAGATCACAATGTCAAGCATTTTCCAAGAAAAGAAAGTAGAATTGAAACACAAACTGTGGTATTGAATAGAGATTTATAGCACAGAAAGAAGCCATTCAACCCATTAAGCCTGCAGTGCCTCTCAGGGCAAGGTGTTCAATCAATCCCACGTCCTGCTTCATTCCCGTATTCCTTCAAGTCTCAATCCTGCATATGTATGTACACATCCTTTTTGAAATCCTCTGCCTTTGTGACAACAACAACAACTTGCATTTATACAGTGCCCTTCACCCGGGGTAGTGTCCCGGAGTCTGACAATGAACCAAGGGGAGAAGAGGCAGCACAGGGACCAGATGTGGGACCAGATATGGGGAAGCTGTGGGTCAAACCTGATGCCTAGGTTGCACACTGGTTCGGTAAGTCTTTGAGGGATAGGCCGGGGAGGTTCAGGAAGTCAGAGCTGCAGGACAGAAGATGTTGACGGGAACCAAGGAGTATGACTTCTGTCTTGTCAATATTTGTAAGAGGTTTGTGCTCATCCAGTCCCTGAATCTGCCAAACAAGCCGAGAGAACATCGGCGGATCTGAAGTCACAGCTGGAGGAGAAAAAATAAATTTGAGTGTCATCCGTATACATGTGGAAGTTTACCCTGCTTCTGCGGATGACATCACCAAGAGGGAGCATATAAATGAGGAAGTGGAGAGGGCCCAGGATGGATCCCTGGGAGACACCACAGGTGACTGGGCAGGGACAGGAGGAGAAACCGTTTGAAGAGATAAAGTGAAGGCGGTTTATTAGGTAGGACTCGAACCAGGCTAGTGCGGTCCTACTAAGGTGGATGAGGGAGGATTGGCGGTGGTTGAGGATGGAATAGTCGACTGTGTCGACCGTGGGGGAGAGGATGAGGAGACAGAGGAATCCCTGGTCACAGATAGAAGGTGTCATTTGTGACCTTGACAAGTGCTGTCTTGTGCTGTGCGTAGGGCAGAAACCGGATTGGAGGGGCTTGAGGAGGGATTATAGGGAGAGGTGTAAGCAAAGCTGGTTAGCTACAACACTTTCCAGAGCTTTGGCAAGGAAGGGCAGGTTGGAAATGTGTCGGTAATTTGTAAGGTTGGAGGGTTCAAAGGTGGGTTTGGACGATGGGGCATTTGGGGTGGCTACTTTGTGATAACCATCGTCGAGAGTCAAGGCAGAGGATGCCCAGGCTGGAGCTGAGGGAGGCAGTGATCGAGTCCAGAAAAGAGAGAAGGAGAGGAGGGCGGTGGGAGAGAAGTGTGAGGAATAAAAGGGGAGCATTTTCGGAGGGTGGGGCGCGGGTCAGGGTGGCAGCCAAATCACACTCACAGAGATAATGAGCAAGGCGTTTAGCAGGACATGGTCAGTCCACAGGCAATGATGGGGGCGAGGAGACAGCACAGAGGGAAGACATAAGGGATAGTGCATATGTCAATGTTTGGACCAAAGCCAGAGAGGGATGGGGGATCAGGGTGGCAAAGGAGGAGGTCAAGGAAGAGGTGAGGAATAGAAATGAAAAAAGAATACTTAGCCCGTGGAAGGTTTGAAAACGGCATGCGGAAGTGACATCATGCAGGCAGGTTTGGCTGTTGGTCCAGGCTGAAGATGTTGAAATGGAGTCTCCGTGCCTGGAACACCAAACCTTTGACCCCCTTGCCGGTCACTGTCTCGCTCGCTTGATGTCTCAGCCCCTCGCCGCTCACTGCCTCGCTCGCTTGCCCAGTGCCTCAGCCCCTCGCCGCTCACTGCCTGTTGATTCACCTGAGGTCTTCGCTCTGGCCGCTCACATCTTCAGGCAGAGCGCAAGGTCGATTGGCTTGGTTGATCTCTCATCTGCCAACCTCGAATTGACTCCTGAAATCCCTCTCCCCAGTCTGCTCCTCTTCTCCATCGCGTCCCTGTTCCCATAGCACTCACCCTCTCACTAACTGCACAAATCAAGGATTGAACATGAGGCTTTCCTGGTCTGTTGTACTCCGCTATTTCAAAGGAGTCCCTAGGAATATATATATTTTTAATATTTTATTCCTAATTTAAATGGTTGTATATCTAATATTTCCTTTTGACCATACTTGGGGATTCCATGGGGTAGTATCAAAAATGTAATCATGTTTTCTGAGTTTATGACATTCTGAAGAAACACTTTTTTTACCTAGGACCTGATGGTAGAATATTTTGAACTATAAAAGTTTTTGTGGGTCATAGTGTAGAAGTAGTCTTTTGTTAATTTCACACCTAAAAAGGGCGTTTCGCCCCCAAAACACAGTCACTTCACTTTGCGGTATATCTTGTGAAGCTCTTTGGGATGTCCTTCCAACGTGAAAGGTACATTAATAATAATCTTTGCATTTGATATTGCGCTTTATCATGTCTTCAAGATGTCTCAAAGCGCTTCACAGAATATACTGTAAAGTGAATTAACTATATATTGTGGGCGAAACATGGCAGCCAATTGTGCACAGCAGCGTCCCACAGAAGTCGTGGAATGAAGTGGCCATTTATTATTTTCTTTATTTTTTTGAAGGAATTATTACCTCCGGAAAAGCCAATTGACTAACAACCAGGTTCCTACTTACTGCTAGGCAAACATGTGGAGGAAGGAAACTTGCCGAAAATTTCACCCTGCCAGGAATCGAATCCAGGTGTCTTGCTTGCAAGGCGAGAGCTCTAACCCCTGAGCTACAGGACTCAACAAGGATTATTATTCATTCAATAATAAGAATTATGAAGATGGTTATTACATATGAGGACAAAAATAACGATTATTATTCAATTTTGATCTACGATTTTAGTCTTTTTTGACATTTTTTATGTTTGGATAGAACAGTAATGTGTGTGGCCTAGAAGCTCGTGTGATGGGAAGTTTCACTCCATTTCTCTTTGGATTACTGAAATATTTGTTTCTTGCTGCACAATGGTTTTGATTTATCTATTCAAAATCTGTACTAGTTGAATAAATGAGGATTTTTGCATTTGGTCCCCTTCCAAGTGTTCTGTTAAAACAACTAAAACTATTTATAGTGTTAACTACTCATATTAATCTTGCTGGGAGTGTATCTTCTTGCCTGATGGTAGAAGTGTAAGGCACAATATACAAACCATTTTTATTTAACAGGTTTATCCTGAATTTTATTTACACAAGACACAAACAGTTGAGTAGATTTCTGACACTATTTTGGTGATCACATAGTGTTAGAAAATTCTTCTTACATTCATGTGATACAACTTTTGTTCCAATTTCACATTTATTTGGAGCAGGAAAGAAAAGTACTACTGCAGAGGAATCACAAGGAGAATGGCCCTTAAAATCTTTTGCTCAGCACAGCACTACCGAGCATTACTGTAAAGTTTGCTGTTTATGGGTTATATAAGAGCTATGGATCCATGGCAATGTTTAATTTTTCATTGACAGCAATGTTTCCCCAACTAAGTATATTTGAAGTATTTTCTACTGTGTGAATCACTTTTTATGCAGTTCTGTTGCTTTCATTTGAAACTACATTGAAATCCGCTTTTGTCGGACCCCGGATGTCAGGTAACTCAAACAAAACGCCTGACCCCGATTCATTTGTATTCTTACCTGTTTTAAATACGGCTGCTAATTTGGGGGAAATCCAGTTAATCCGGGCAAAATGCTGCACTGGTCACCACTGAATGTACTCACTCAGGCTTCTATGGTATTAACTTTAACTAGTTAGTTAACATTGGTTCAAGTGAAACAACATTATTATATATTATTATACAGCAACAGCAGCGCTCCTCTGCTGTGCAGGAATGGTATTTACGACAAGTTACGGACTCCCCAACCAGTGAATATCCAGTACTTTGATTTAATTTTTTTCTCTATTTTTGATCCTGGTGAGATTAATGCACTCTGCATGTCTTGGTTCTTCACCTCTGCTCACAATAAATAAAACTGTTTTCAATTTTGGACTAAGTTATATCTTTTTAACGTGTCCTTGTTGTAGAGGGAAGCTCTTGGGAATAAACACCAGAACAGTCTTAATTATTTACGTTAAGTGTCTAGCTTGTTACTTTGCAATTGAGCTTTAGAAATCTGAGATGTTCAAGCAGACATCCATACAATCATAATTTAATTGGAAGCACTAATTACATAATTCAAATCCTATAACCAATTCAGTTGTCTTCATTTGCACCCGTATATTTTGCAAAACCAATAGACACTCTGTTACTAGCTTTAAGCATATTTTATTGCAATGCATCTGCAAGATTTGAAGAGACTATTACCCCCAGAAAAGCAATCTACCAATTGACTAACAACCGGATTCCTACTTCTAGGTAAACAGAGGAATCTGGAGTAAGGAAACATGCCCAATGTTTTGCCCTGTCCGGGAATCAAACCCAGATCCTCTCGCTTGCGAGGCGAGTGCTCCAACCACTAAGATACAGGATTCCCCAACATCTATATGTCAGATACCTGCTGACCACACAAACGATAGTGGCGCTTCTGGATAAATATTCTGCTGTACTATTTTATTTGTACGTTGTGCTTAATAAATTCCATAGTTGGACAACCTTTTTTGATTTTAATGCTGGAAACTTTTTTGAGATCATGATGTCTGGTGTAGTTTTGCCAAACATGGATTGAAATTGGATTTATGTGACTATCTTTTCCATCCTGATAACTACTAGTTTTGTAATGTTTTGGCCCTGTGGTCGTTTGCCTTGTATCTCTGCACATCATTCTCCAAATAAGGGTAACAATTAGTAGGCCTCTACTATTGTAGCTATGTAATAAAGCTTTTCGAACACACAGGTCTACACCATTTGGATACTAATAATAGCATATGAGGAAATATTTGGGGAGGAACTCCAACCTAAACCATTTTTCATTAAAATCTGAAGTGTTTTTATAATGTTTAGGAGAATAATGTATGACATGTTTTTAGAACACTGCTAGGTATTGTAAACAACTGGTGAGTTTGAGATGTATACAAACCTGCATAGAAAGGGGGCTATTTCAGCCTATAATTTCTGTGCCACAGAGACCTGAGACCTCTCGCATCCAATGTGGAAATCGTACCTCTAGACCAAATACAATAAGACTTAATCTGGAGGGGATATGGGTAACTTGAAATTAAAATACATGTTTTTTTGTGAATGTTAGTTTCTTATATCTTTTTTTTGTGTTTTTGCTCAGAGCCCGTGGAGGAGGACATTCTACAGGTTGTAAAGTATTGCACTGACCTCATAGAAGAAAAAGATCTGGAAAAATTAGACCTTGTTATTAAGTACATGAAAAGGTAATGCAGCAGCTCCTGGAGTTGGGATGTCTTTCAGTATCATTTTCTTCCCATTTTAGTACAATTTCAACCTTATTCTTGTTCATTTTCTGCTTTCCATTGGATGATCTCATCTATGTTCTATCACAACCTTCTTCACTGTCTGAAAACATTTTCCAGTCTGATTTAGATCATACAATGAAATCCCATTTTTTATTCCATTCCATACCACTATGTTGCCTCTGTATAATTGTAGTTAATCCTATTTAAAAAGATAGTCTATTACCTTCAATTGAAGACTAATAAATCCTCTTTGGTCTTATGTTGTTCTGTCAAATAACTCCTTAGATTTGTTAGACCATGGTCTACCTATTGCAAATCTATATTAAATTCCCAGATCAGCTCATGTTTGTTCAAGTTAATTTAATTATCCTTGCATTTGATATAGCGCTTTTCACGTCTTCTCGACGCGCTTCACAGGATATGCTGTAAAGTGAATTCACCATATATTTGTCGGCGAAACGCGATAGCCAATTGCGCACAGCAGTGTCCCACAAACAGTCGTGGATTGAAAATGACCAATTTATTATTGTTTTTGGAGGGATTATTATTAGGCGTGTGGAGTAAGGAAACTTGCCCAAGGTTTTGGATGAAATTTGGATTTGGATTTGGTGATGTTACCACTACTGATGTCCAACTCACCAGATTTCAAGTTTGGTTTGGATGAAGAAGGCATTTCATCCCATCCGATCTCATCCATCTAGAACACATACTTATTCCGCCCCCCCCCCCCCAATCGCTGCATCAAGCTGTTTTTTAAAATGAGTAGTGTCTTGGCTCTACCACCTTTCCTGGCAACCTGTTCAAGTCATTGATTATCCTCTGCATAAAAAAAATAATGATATATATTCTGAAACTGCCTTTTGCAACTCTAAATCTATACCCTCTTGTTCTGTTATCTTGATGCATCCTAACGTTTTGATCTGGGTTTACTTTTTCAAACCCATTTAAAATTTTACACCCTCTGTGTCATCTTCTTTCACGACTGAGTTCAAGGATCCTATCTTGTCTAATCTTTGCTCATAGCGGAAAACCTAGTTTGCCCTTTCCTCACTTTCTGAATAATTGCATCTGTTACTTTTCAGCCACTGTTATTACTCGTGAAACCATAAAGATTTGAACAGATCATAAGTAATGCATCTGTGATTTTCTCATCTGTTTTAATATCCTGAGATGGTAACTGTTCAGGAGGCTGGAGATTCACATGTTTTCTGCCTTAATATTTACCTATTACATTTGCTTTGGTTAAATCCCTACTTCCACTATCCAAATTTTTTTTCTCCTCTTTCTCCCCCCACCACCCATTGCTTTATGGTTTAAAGTTTTGTGCCCCCCCCACTCTTACTTTAAGATTGGAAACCTTCCAGCAATTTTGTTTTTTTTACTTTTTATGAAGTCATAAATTGAAATTTTTAAAAATATCATCAATTTTTAGAAACTGGACGGCAGCACAAATTTAAAATGACCTTACCCGGTAAAGCTTGTCCAAAACCAAATGCATTAAATAAGAGAATTGCCAAATGCCTTTAATCCTCAAGATACCCAGCAGGCAGAAACCCAATGCTTTGAGTGATTACCAGTCAAAGGAAAGTATTTCTATAGAAATTGCTTCCCTTCTGTACAGATTGCTTCCCTCGAGTAGCAAATGTAGGGAAGTTTTTCAAGTTTTAGAGTTCGAGTTTTTCAAAATATCTGCTGATTGTCCTTCAGAGAAACCAAATTCTTTACAATGAGTAAGCATAGTTTACCGACACAGGGGCATGTATGGCAATAGATTTTATCTTTATATACAAATATTCTCTAGTTACAATGGTTTTACAGCCATACTTGTGTATATTTATACTTATTGTATTTATACTTATTATTATCCTTGCGTTTATACTTATTGTATTATGTCTATCAAAATCCTAGTTGAAGTGAAATTTAAACATTATCTCAAATAATGTTCTGAGGTATTTGCTCTTTTCTAACAGGCTAATGCTGCAATCAGCGGACTCTCTGTGGAATATGGCGTTTGACTTCATCCTTGACAATGTTCAAGTTGTCATGCAACAAATTTATGGAAGCACGTTAAAATTTACGTGAGAAAACAACGCGAGTGATATTTTTAATATCAATATTACACTGGAGCCTGGAGCTCCCATTTTGTGCCATAAAAACCCTATGTGAAACTCTTAAAATTTGCATGGTAGAAACGCATTGTGTTTTTATGAAAGCATTTCTGATATTGAAAACATGTTTTGTAATTTTTTTTCTTGGCAAAAGTATGTGCCAAATTCTTGTCAAAATTGCATGTAAATAATTGTGTTGTATAAAGTAACTTGTATGTAGAAAGCAATGTATTTACAAATGGTTGTTTATAAGCAGTTTTTTTAGTGTTTACTTCTGTTTAATAAAAAAATGTTTGTTGTGGATTTATAACACTGAATATGTTTTAATTTTCTTTAGGGACAGATTTGATTACCACATCAGTACTTGTCCAGTTAGAACCATTAGGCTTTTAGTTTCCAAGATTGGCGACATGTCTGAACCTCCAAATGTGTCTTGGGTCACTGCGGACCTGCTTATCTTGGCTCCTCAGCTGTATAGATCAGGAAATCTTAAGGTTCAATCCTGGTTTCTACTAAATTATCCTGGTCCTGTCTTGAATGTAAACCCAAGTAGCAATGAGGATGTGATTATATTACAGAGAACAGTTGGTCTGCAGAATAACAAATAAATCCAGCATTTCCCAGTCCTCATAAATGTTCCTTGCTGGAAGGCACATTTTGACAATAGGATCATGCTTGGGGATTGCTCCACTTGATTGTCAAATGGTATACTGACCTCAATGTGTAGTCTCACCCTTGAAGAATGACCATTTGAGCAAGACATTAGATGGCTATTAATACTTATGGAGTGATACTACATCAGAATTGTCACCTTAGAGGAGAAAATTGTAAAATATAAGATTAAAAAATAATATGCTCCCAACTGGTTTGCATTGCTACTTGTCCACACTAAATCACAAATCGAATAACAGAACCAACATAACCAATAGTCAGTTGTTATTTGACGTCTGACCATCATTATCAGATCAACTATAATCTGAGAAGCAACTGAAATCTAAGCGTATGAGAGTATTTTAAGTTTTGAATCCACAAAGAAGAAAGAACACTACACTGCAACTGAATTAAGCCACAGTTACATTCATTTTTCTTTTAAAGTTAGCATCAACTGTTGTAATGAACACTCAGTTTTCTTATGGACCTTTGCCTTAAACTTTGAGGGGATACAATATAAAGAGAAGCTTATGTTAACTGTACAAACCCTATGTCGAAATTGACAGTATTATGTACAGTTTTGAGCATTCAATTATAGGAAAGGTATAAAAACAATGGAGAAATGCAGTTTAGATTCATTAGGATATGTAATGAGGATGTAAACTAGTAGGTTAGATAGGGGGGAGCCAGTAGATGTGATGTATTTGAATTTCCAGAAGGCATTCAACAAGGTGCCACATAAAAGGCTGTTGCATAAGATTAGAGCCCATGGAATTAAAGGTAATATATTAGCGTGGATTGGAGAATGGCTAACAGGAAGAAAACAGAGTAGGGATAAATGGGTCCTTCTCAGAGGTAGGATGTGACTAGTGGAGTGCCACAAGGAACAGTGCTTGGGCCTCAATTATTTACAGTCTATATCAATGATTTAGATGAGGAAATAGAACTTAACATATCTAAATTCACTAGGTGGGACAGTAATCTGTGAGGATGACACACAAAGAATGGTGAGTGGGCAAGAAGGTGGCAGATGGAGTATAACGTGGGGAAGTGTGAAGTTATTCACCTAGGTAGTAAAAATAGAAAAGTGGATTATTTTCTAGCGTGGGAGAGACTAAGTAGTGTTAGTGTTCAGAGGGATTTGGGTGTCCTTGTACACCAGTCACAAAACATTAGTATGTAGGTACAGCAAGCAACTAGGAAGGCTAATGCCAAGTTGGTGTTCGTTGCAAAAGGGTTAGAGTACAAGAGTAGGGAAGTCTTGCTGCAGTTGTATGAGGCCTTGGTGAGACGAAACCTAGAATATTGTATGCAGTTTTGGTCTCCTTATTTAAGAAAGGACATACTTGCCTTAGAGGGGGTGCAGAGTAGATTCACTAGGTTCCTGGGATGAGGAGGTTGACCTATGAGGATATGTTGAGTAAACTAGGCCTATATTCTCTAGAATACAGGAGAATTAGAGATGATCTTATAGCAACCTATAAGATTCTTAAGGGTCTTGACAGGGTAGATGCCGTGAGACTGTTTCCTCTGGTTGGAGAATCTAAAACCAGGGGTCATAGTCTCAAGATTAATGGTCAGCCTTTTCGAACTGAGTTGAGGAAACATTTCTTCACTCAGAGGGTAGTGAATTTGTGGAATTATCTATCCCAGAAGGCTGTGGATGTTCAGTCCTTGAACCTATTCAAGACTGAGGTTGATAGATTTCTGAAGGATAGAGGGATTAAGGGATATGGGGATAGGGCGGATAAATAGAATTAGGTTAGAAGATCAGCCATGATCTTATTAAATGGCGGGGCAGGCTCGAGGGGCCAAATTGCCTTCTGCTCCTACGTCTTATGGTCTTATTTGCTTATTGCATTAACAAACTAGAGACTGCCTCAGTATGCCTATTTTTCTAAACCTGGGACTAAGGCACGTGTATGAATATGGTGCCCTCTGACTGTCTATGATATTTGATCTGAGATTTTTTGATGTTAATGAGGCAACAATATTGAAAAATTCTCCATCAATGACAAAAGCTCATTGGTATCCTACATTACTGAAGGTGTTTCAATAGGTTCAATTGACCTAATTAATGAAACAAAAATCCCTGAAAACAGAACCAACTCCTGCTATGTACTTAAATGTAAAGAAAACTAGATTATAAAACAAATAGACTTGATACCTTTTTGCTTGGACTACTACTTTCACTAGGAGATGATATCTATTATTTATACATAGAATGAACAAATTGTACTCCACTCATTTTCTTTGTGTTAACAAAGGTGCCATGTTTATATTGTTTTGACGAAAATATAAATATCAACTCATACCGAGTAAAAAAAATTCTGTTGAACAGTCATAAATAGTAACTGGAAGAAAATATAGTTGTGTAAAACCATGAACTATGTTGAGCAAGTCTGTCCCCTGGTGGTTAGCTTAATTTAGATATTAACTAGAAAGTGGGTGAATGTATCACAAGGAACCATTAAAAATGCCACAAAGTTGAATCCAATAGTTCATTCAGTTTTCTGGTTGGATTATTAAATGTAATTAGTTTGCCACATAAAACTAAGGCACCCGGGAACTGTGGAATTATTTTCAATTGTAAAAGACATCCACAAATCAAGGTAACAAAATTACACAAGGTCAGTTTGAATATCTGTGCTATCATTTTCCTTTAATTTCATTTGTTTGCAGTATAGATGCAGTGGGTAAAGTATGTTAAAACATCGTTATGAAATGGTGGAATGTGGGCTCCACCATTAGAAGCCCTGCTCAAACTGTCCTCAAACCTAAAGAACTCCCTGCCTCAATCCCTCTTGCCTCCTCTTTGCTGGACCCTTCCCGTTTCTCCCGAGCTTGGGAGTAAAACTACACCCCCGATCATTTCCTGTTGACAGCCTGGTCATCCAATCCTAGCGGAGTGCTGTATTATCGGACCTGTCATCTTTTGGATAAGACAAACTGAGGTCACTCTGTTGCACATTAAAGATCCCATTACACTATTCGAAAAAAAGATGTTTCTTCCAGTGCCCTGGCCAACAATTCCCCAAATAAAATTGGGCATTTAATATGGCTGTTTGTGAGTTATTGCTATGCACAAATTAGAAATTTGCCGACAAAATACATAGTCATTACACTTTACAGTAAATCATTAAATGGAACAATTGGGTGTGGTTATGGTTAGTGGCACTTTAAGTTCATAAATAAAGAAATTTATAAGCACACTCGTACTTTGAATTGCATATTATCACATGAAGTGCTCTGGAGACGTTCTCTCAGCCAATCCACCCAGAAAGGTTATTTAGCTTCCCTGTGTGAATTGCAGAAATACAGCCAATGCAAATTTGTGTCTGGCTGAACCGAATAATAAGTCTGGTTAAAAATAGAGTAAATATACTAAGTCAGGATTTTCCTAAGTCAGGATTTTCCTTTGAATCTAGCAGGTAACATAACCCAAAACCCTACCACATTAGAAGGCTTAAAATACAGTACTTTTCCTGTCCAAACCATATGATTAAAACTATTTCAAGATGAGATAAAGTAAAGAAACATTTTTATGAACAAAGTAGAAACTGATGATGGTTAAGAGGAACACAAACAAAACAAATAAATGATAAGGAAATAATGGATAACCTCCTGTGTTGAACTAGTAACTGATAAGACAGGAAGATCAATCTGAAAGACAAGTTTATTGGTAAAGTCCTTCAATTCACCACATCCTCTGCTTTAATACAATAATAAATTATTACTATTGCAGTCTAGTTCTTCTTTGATGCTGATTACTTTAAAACTATCAGCCTGACTCAGTCTGTAGCACTCTCACCTCTGAGTCAGAAGATTGTGGTTTCAAGCCTCACATAGGGACTTGGAACTCAAGTCTCCAAGCTGACACTCCAATTCAATATTCTGGGTGTGCTGCATTGTTAGAGGTGATGTGCTTCAGATAAGCTGTTAAACTGAAATTCTGTCTGCCTGTTTAGGTGTACATTAGAGATCTTATGGTTCTATTCGAAAAGAGAAAGGAGTTTCTCCCAGTGCCCTGGTTAACAATCCCACATATAAAATTGCTGATTCACTTTTTGGCTGGTTGTGCATTACTTGTGTGTGCAAATTAGCTGCTGTGTTCACCTACAAAAACACTTTTTTTTTACACACTACACTTTATAGTATGCCCTGTGAAACACTTTTGAGACAACCTCCTGATGTGAAAGGCACTCTAACATATGGAAGGATTATTATTATAAAACTGAGCATCAATACAATAGCAGGAAATATGATGTCAGACAATGAAGTAGTAACTGAATGTTTGCTATTCCCATGTAAAGCACCGCAATCAAACTGAACACTGTTTTCCACTGCAGAACACTAAGTTTTGACACTGACTGAATAATAACAACTTGCACTTATATAGCAAGCACCCTTCATGCAGATAAGGCAATTAGCACAAGATGTCATGAAAAAGAGAAAGTAAATCTGAAAAACATTTTTAGGGTAGTAAAAATAGACAAATTAGATAAATTAAACCAATTGTCAAATTAACAACTACCTAGTCATCTCACCTATGTCTCTACGCATTGAGAAGGTGAGAAGGGTACCTTTGGAGATACAGAAACAATCTTTTAGTTACTTCACCATCAATACAACAGAAGCAAGAGCACATGATCTTTCAAAACTGATATTGAACTCAGAACATTTAATACACAAGAATATTATTTGGGCAATTAAAACTTAGAAGTATAGTATTGACTTTTAAAAAGAAATACAAGTCATCCCCCAAATTTTGAATTATATACTTTATTTCATAATGTGCTATCACATAAAACCCCAGCATCACAAGAATGTTATGAGACCCCAAGCCTTGGGACACTAGTGTGCATCAGACTTGGAAAACATTCATTCTGAATCAGAACACAGGAGACCAAATTTAAAAAAAAAGGTCAGATTAGGTCCAAAAGACTGTTTAAAAATTGGATGCAATAAGAATGAACACAAACACAGAAGGATATCCAGAAAGTACAAGTACTAGTAATGGCAAGTGTAGCCTATATAGTGTTCACTGTCACCAATTTTGGCCAAGTTAGTATCGCACTCAATTTAATACAATCTTTTGTTCAGTCAACTCTGTCAAACTACCTTAACTAATCTGGCCATCCTTTTATTATGGATAAGAGCATTAAATATAATTTTCTCATGCATGATTCTGCTCAGAGAATTTGTGTTTAATACCTCATTTCATTACTATGAAATGATTGCTGCTTTGTGCATCCACCCACTGTGGTAATAATTACATTAGAAAGGTATCAGAAATACAAATCTTATTTTCTTCAGTTTTATTTGTGATTTGAGTTTTGAAAGTTTACAGTCTGGGTCACACAACCATCAATTGTGCAAGCAATAAAAGACTGATCAATGCGATATTCTTTCACAATGCAGGTGGAATTCTTCAGTTACCTAATTTTCTATAAAAGTCTATAGGCACTAAAGCAAAATTAGGCGTCTGTGAAGTGGCTGAGAAGAGAGCAGCTCCTTGAATAGAGAACAATTCTTTATACCCAAAATTACTAGTCAAAAGGTTGAACACTGCTTCTGCACTGTAGCACACAGGATTCAAACACTTTTATTCATTATTTCATACAGTAAATAAGATTCTGGAAATGCTGCTTGCAAAATCTGTCTGCTGAAAAGGAGAAATCTTTAAATAGCAGCCAATACATTTTTTTGGGGGGTGGGGGGAAAAAAAACAAAAAAAAGCAGGCACATTGGGAACTGTAGGAACATTTAAAACAGATCACTGTCAAACCAGTGGAAGAGTTTTGGTTTGTCATGGAAAACATTTACTAGCCATAACCACTTTTTCTCTGGGTTCTGACTCTCAGCATCCAGTGTGGCTTTTCATAGTTCCTGTTGAAACACAGACTTCATTCTCATTCAGTCCTTTTACTCTTGCTACCCTTGCTGAAATCTTTTTTTGCCCGAAATGGTGAAAAACAGCATTAGTTAGATAATTTCAAATGTTTTCTTCAGTTCCACGATGAGCTGCCAATCAGACTTCTGCATCTCATCTCTGAACCAGTCCTTCAAGGCATCAATTGACTGTCGACTGATCTGTAATACAAAAGTTAGTGTAAGACAGATAATCCAACAAGCCACATATTGTACAATGTAGCCTGCTATTACACAATTCTTTATAGCACAAATTACTACTGGGTCATTAGGTTGCTGCCGACATAGTGCCTTACTTCGCACATGCACAGCAATTATATTTATATTGGATGTAGTCTTGGAACGAATCTATCCAAACGCCAACAGAACATAAACAATCAGTGGACTGGTAGTTTTTGCAGACAGAAAGGTGCAAAATCATGTAGGAATCTGAAGGCATGGACAAGGAATTTAAACGTCAACCCAACAGGGTACTCAGATAGAGTGGGATTTTGGCAAGATAGCAAAGGATGTGAGAAACATGAGAGAGAAAACTCAGGCTAAGGAATTTTGGCTGAATTCGATCTGATAGAGGATGATTTAAACCTAAGCAGCCAGTTGGGTTGATAAGAGTTGAAATCAGAGGTGTAAAGGTATTAGCAAAAACAGAACATGACAACTTCAGTCCTTAAGTTGAAGGAAGTTGAGTCTCACACAGAACTGAATATGAGGGGCAACATCAACAATTCTGGAATTGAGGGTGGAGACAGAGGCAGAGCTTCGTGCCAGCATATATGTGAAAACTGTCTTCATGACTGTGAATATTGTCACTGAGTTAACCATGCAGGTATGGAGCCATTTGAGGAAAGATAGTGATTTGGACATGTAGTTGAAACAAGAAATAGCAATCCCACAGAGGTGAAGCAAAGAGAAAAGGCAACAGACTATAGAAATGTCTAGTTTATTTATCACCCCTCATGAACCAATACTAATAATGCTACCTAAGTTTCCCTTCCGCAGAAATGGCTCTCATTTTTTTTCAGCTCATGAAAAGGCTATTTGTAAACAAAGATTGTAGATATAGCCATGTAGTCTAATGAGTGAGATCATTCATCAACAGGCCAAATAAAGGTAAGTCACATAGAGAGCAACAGTTTAGCTACTGCTGCTGACAGAAGAAAAAATGGAAGGGGGAAGGTTTCCAAGATGGGGTTTTTCTACAGCATGAAAACAATAGACCTTGCACTCTCATAAGATCTTAAAAGGGATCCTGGGTTTTACAATTTCCCCAATGAATAGGAAATGTTAATGTTCCCTCTAATGTTGGGGGGGGGGTGGGGGTGGGGGGAGGGAGAAATATAATTAATGTACAAAAAGCAGATGTCATTTTGCACTGACAAAATGACTTGCACTGCCACTCAAAATGTTCTTCACGAGAACTAAATTGGTTTCTTTCCCATTGCTCTGGAAATTACTTTGCAATTTTCTTCTGGGGAATCTTCATAAATAGCAACATTGAAATACTCATACTCTGAAAAATACTGTATAGAAAAGAGAATGCTTCTTGCAAGGAATCATTTATTGTCAATCCAACTCATACCTTACTGACAATGAAGTCTGTAGCTTCAAAGTGCCGTCCAAACATTTTTGGTGCTTCTCCAGGTATGGGTTCAATTTTGATACAGACCTCCTGGCCTTTCCTGGCAACTTCTACCTGCTTATGATTCACTTCAATACTAGTAACAATTCCAATATCGACAAACTGGATGGAGCAAGTAAAAACAAAAACAGTGAACTGCTACAGTATTAGAAGTCCAATAATTTCAAATGAACAGTTGAGTTAAGAAATTAAAATTTGTATAAAGAACTCATCTTAAAACAATGAAAGTACAAACATGTAGAGATTTCAGTGGTTGGCAGCAAACATTATGGAGACTTACATTTTTAGCAGGAACACACACTGGAGTTCCTTGTTTGAGAATGCCAGCTTCTATAGTAACTCCAACAACAATTGGGTCTCGAGAATTAAAGATAAATTGGGGAAGAATGCGAATTTTTGAAGGAAAAACTGCTATATGCCTGAAAGAGGGGAAAACTTTGGATATTTAAATATTCACACAATACATGAAATGCAAAAGTTGTTACAAACCCTCTTCAACATGAAAAATTACTGCATTCTGTGTTTATGTGGTGACTCAGTCCAGTATCTTCATACTTTAAATTCCTTATTGCCCCTCCTCTGAACCCTCCTTAACTATCTATCCTTGCTTGATTTCAATAACTTTAATCTAACTCCTTTTCCAAAATGTATCATTTCAACATACTGATAAAACACGCTGATAAAACAGCAAAAACAATACTTTGAAGGAAAATGCTGTTTACCAGTTATGTAACCATCAAATTTTCCATCAAGAATCTTATCATATGATAAAAGAGAATTGAATAAATACTTGAAAAATAAAATGCTATGGTGATAGAGCAGAGGAATGAGATTTCAGCAAATAGCTCCAGGGGAGGCGAGCTAGTAGAAATATATACATATATAATTATTGCATAGGCCAATAGTAAAATTAGTATTCTATGCATAAGTACTATGCACTAAAGTCAGGTTATGTATTAACAGTCAGTTCCTTACTTGAATTCCTCTTGCTTTAGTCTTTTATAATCTTGTCTGTATTTCGTAAAGGCATCAAACAAATGATAGATAATTTCTGCACTGAAGATTCTGACCCCAAGAGAATCAGCTAATTCCTGAGAATCTCGCTCAATCTTCACGTCAAATGCAAGAATCACCGAATACCTACAAGTATGATTCAATAAAATTACTTACAACATAGACATTATTCAAAACAAAAAATCCGACCGACCTGCAGGTAAAATTATAGGAAAAATAGTATATCTAATGTTTGGTGTAACTGATCATAATGTGAATTTTAGTAAGCCAAATTCTAATGCATTAAATTACACTGGTCCTAAATAGAAAGAAAACAGTTTTTAGCTCACCTTTAGTTGTTAAAGATAGTTAAGTGTTCTTTTTTTAAAATCCCTTAACCCCGTACTTGGGCAATAAACCTAAATGGCATTAGTCAAAATTAGATCAAATTCCAGAGCTTTTATTATGAATAATAATGCTTACATTTGACATACTGTCTCTCATGTTGAGTGTATGTCTCGAAAACGTTACAGGATATACTGTAAAACATATACACTTCACTGTGTATATTTTTGACAAACGCAGCAGCCAATTTGCAATGTCAACAAACAACCATAAAGTGAATGACCGATTTTATTTGGCGGGTAGTTGGCCAGGACACCGGGAGCAACTCCCTCCTCTTTTCAAATAGTGCCATGGAATCTTTACTGCTCACCTGAACAAGCAGGTGGGACAGCACCTCCAACAATAGCAGCATATTTGATTGTTAACATGGAGGAACTCGATGTTAACAATCTAATGAGCGATGAAACTCTCATAATCTAAGCCCCACTGTGGGGCTTGAACTCACAACCTTCTGATACAGAGAGTGCCACTTAGCCAGGCTGACGCACAACCATTGTAAAATGCACATAATGAATTAAAGCAATAATATTTACTGAAACAAGTTACTATTTTATATGAAAACAGAAGTTGCTGGGAACACTCAGCAGGTCAGGCAACATCTACGGGGAAAGGAAAGTGAGTCAACGTTTCAGGTCCACGACCCTTCGTCAGAACTTGAGTTCTGTTCGGTTCTGATGAACGGTCATGGTCCTGAACGGTCATGGTCACTTTCCTTTCTCCATATATGCTGCCTGACCTGCTTAGTGTTCCCAGCGACTTCTGTTTTGTTTTCCAGCATCTGCAGTATTTTGTATTTTGTTACTATTTTATATGAGCCGTTTTTAAACATTAAAAAAATTATTTAAAATTGCAAAAACAAATGCAACAGGTTACTCAACGGAACATTAAATAAAGCAATAACAGAATGGAAGAATTGTGTGAAAATAGAGGAAATAAAACCTGATGCCCAGCAGCGATGTGTCTACTGCTGTTTAAATTGTGTTTGATGGCTTGGTCATATCAGTATTTACCAGAAGTTATTTTGCAGACAAACATACAACTAGAAAACATTTATAACTTTCCACTCTTATTTAAAACAAACAATTTGCTGCTGCAGTAGTTTGTTACTTACTGAGGATCATGTTCAAGCATAGCTGAAGCTTTTGTCACATCTCTCTTATGCACAGGTCCAATGTTAATTCCAGCATACTGTTTCCGAAAAAGATAGGCTCAGGTTTGTAACTGGTACTGCTCTATTTTAACAAAAAATATACTGTAGATTTGAAATATAGATACTTACTGGCACACTTGAACCTCGGAGAAATTCCAACAGTGCTTCCAAAGAACCCAATGTAGAGGCTTGTACATAAACCCCCTTGTCCTCGAGTTTGATAGAACTCAAGGTTTGTTTCAATTCATGTTCTATTTCATCCTGTTAACAGCAATACGACAGGGCACTGAATTACTTAACTGAACATTAAAACATTTATATAACTGAACAACATAATGCGGATTTCACAGATCGAATCATGCAATTACTATTAATTTTTTAAAAAAATTAGATCATTCCAAATACAGAACTTGTAGTCATTATTCTATTCCAATGAAAAGTGATATCACAATTGTTGTGAGAGTTCATTTCTCATTATTATAGCAGAATGCCAGTTATCAGCGGAAAACTAATGCCTGGTCAATTTAGCTAACCATGCTTAAAATAGCCAACTGCCAGGTCATCAAACACAGGAAACAACATGATGACCTGAAAGTTGGGACTTTTTTTAAAAAAAAGCGTGTGAACTGTCTGGCTTACCATGCATGTCACCTACACATGGAAATTTCCATGTCTGGAACTCACTTTCTGACACTCTCAAGAGAGATGCACCCTACATATCCAATTCTGGAGATTATTAGGTACAGGTTGGCAAGAGTAAAGACTTGAGAACTCCCAAGCGTGTGTTGGGATACAAGTAGATTTAACTAACTAAAACCAGGTAGCTCGCCATTGAAAGAACTGTCTGGCAGGCTTCTGTTGCTTTGTACAGCAATGGCCATGCTACCCATAGGAAGTACACAAACCTTTAGCACTGCAACTTCATCATCTTTGTTGGCCACTAGTAGAGGTAAACCAGCAAGAGATTTTTCTAGATCTTTAGCAAGAATTTTCACGCCTTGTGCAGCCCAGACTTCCTTCTGTTTCTCATATTGATTCTGAAAAGAAAAAGAGACTTCAAAACTACTTCAAGATCAACATCCTTGCCTTGTCCTTCAGATGAGATGTTAAACCGAGGTCCTGCCTGCATGTTCAGGTGAACATTAGATTCCATGACACTATTCGAAAAGAGAAGGGAGTTTCTCTTGGTGTCTTGGCCAACAATCCCCAAATAAAATTAGTCACTCACTCTATGGCTTTTTGTGGGAAATGGCTGTGCACAACTGGCTGATACATTTCGCCCACAAAATATACAGTCAAACCCCACTTTACAGTAAATCCTGTGAAGTGCTTTGAGGCATCTCAACACAGTGATAAGGGGCGAGAATTATTATCACATGTTTATTATGCAACCAATGATCCTGTAGTGATTTTTTGAGGGTACAGAAAAGATAAAATGGAGAGAAAAGTATTAATATTGTTTATATCCAACAGTCAAAATCAGAACTATTCTTGGAACATTCCCTGAAAGTCCATCCACAAAAATATTATAAAAATAATGTAATACATGTAAACACGATCAAATATTACTTCAACAAAATAGGGAAAGAAAGGTGCATTTTACATTAACATTCAAATTTATTGTATTTTACTAAATTGTCTCCTTCCCATCTTGCTATGTAGTTTGAAGGAGATGGTTGCAGATGGATGCAGCACTGAGTGGGATCAAGCCAGAACCAATAAGCAAAATTAATTTTTCATAAAAAATTCTAGTGCGTGCAAACTGTTCATTACGTGCAGTTTTCCCAATATATAGAATATAAAACATGCAGTGCTTTCCCGTACCTTTACTCTCAATTCTTTGAGAGGGGGTGGTAATAAAAGACCTCTGATCTGCGTAACTATAGGACCTTCAACTCCGGGGACAATAATGGTATCTCCTTCTTTCAGTTGACCATTGATTAGAATTACATCAATAGTTGTTCCCATTCCAGGAAGTGCTTTTACCTGAACAAAAACACCCAATAAAAAAAGATGCATTCATTATTAGTATCAATTATACAGTGATTAATACTACAGGATATATTCTTAAATTGCCACTTAACAATGTTGTCAAATGGCTGCTCGCTACTTACCAGCTAGTGTAGAAGGACAGTTAGTAGCTGTAGCAGTCATTAAATAGGCATCTGCTAGCGACTGAAAAGATTTCACTCTGCTACAAAACTTTTTTTAAAAAATACAAATACTTCAGAGCTTTCCTGGCTCAGGATAAATGCACCTGTTCAGTGCAGTACTAAGCCATGCAGACCAAGAGGGTCTTGCATGTAGCTCAATGGATGGGGGGGGGGGGGGGAGTGGAGTGCGAAAAACCTAGTTCTCCCGTATTAGTTGTGTAATAATAGGGTTCTATAGCTTGACTCACTGCCAGCAGGTTGAGGGGGAGAGGGGGAGAACACAGCTGGGGTATGCAGCAGGATCCATGTTGTAAAATGCATGTTTAAGATCAACAACAAGAAGATTTCATATATAGAGCGCCTTTCACGTCAGGAGGACATCCCAAGGCGCTGGACAGTTGGGTCGGGACCCAAGCAGGGGGGAAATGGTCAGGGTGAGGGGAGGGAAGGGAGGGAGCGAGGCTGGGGTAGAGAGTCGAGAGGGGAGCTGAAGGCATGGTCGAAGAGACAATAGCTTGGCTGGAATGCTCCAATGGTCAAATAACTTGATATTATTTAGGGTTGCGTTATCCAATCAATTTTACATTGTAAGTACTTACAAGAATTTCTAGAATGTGATTAGTTATGTGTAAAGCAGACGGACAAGTAAAGCAGAGTCCCTTTATTAGCATTTTGCATGGGAGGTGGCTGGAATATTGACAGAATGGCTACTCAAGTGGTAGTGACAAGTTAAGCCAGGGTTGAGTTTTCTGGAGTTTACTGTAGCAATAAAAACTTCTTCTAGTTTAAATTGGAAACCATCACATTTCTTCCTCTCTCACACACAGTTTATAGTATATTTACATGTATACCTCCATAACTTGTGCTCTTAGTTCCAGTGAATAAGCCAGTCTCTTGGCCAGCATGGTCTGGGTCAGCTCTGCCAACAATGCAATAAGATTGCCCATGCCATCTCCACTATGAGCTGATGTAGGTACTAGTGAGACAAATGTACGTGGATCCTTGTTCTCATAGAATAAAGAAGCATTTAGACCCTGAAAAATGTAACACAAATTCTCCATCAGACCACTAATAAGCAAATTCCGTGGAGTTTCATCTTCACTGAAGAACTCTCAACAATTTATTCAATTTGATACAGCAATGTTAACAGACACAATCAATGCACACTGGCTTAGGAGACATTATAAAAGTTGAGAAAATATCCTAAGTTCGGTCATTAATTTACTCTTATACTGAATTTTACTCTTATGCTCTGCAAACAAGAGTAAAATTTCTACTCAAAATTACATGCATCAGCCTTCCGTGATATTGGCTTTTAATGGGATTTCCCATTTTAATCATGTATTGTGTGTAACACTGGACAGAATTTTTACCCAATAGCTCGTTCCACCAGGCCTAAAAAATACCATCCACCTCTTTCTGCCCTGTTTAATATTTGGGAATCTTTACAGAATGGAGAATCAACCCTCATTCCTTATATTGCTGCTCTCTTGTACAGCATTCACCTGTAATGTTTTAAAATATGAATCCTTAGACTATCATCATGAAAAAGGTAGCAACTACATCATTACTACATTTCGGCATAGGTCAATGCAATCAAATATTTTTTGATAACTCACATACCCTAAAGTCAGAAAATGGCAATACTGATTGCCAAGAGCTCAACATATTTGTAAACCTTAGCAAAATAGCAGAAAAAAGTTGAAATATCATTTCATTCATTTATCATAGCCTTACAACCATATAAAAAAATACAGAACAGTAGTTATTGAACCTACCAACTCTATTCCACACAAGTTTTACATTTTTCACTAATTTGTTTAAAATCATCTTTTTAAATGCACATATTGTTAAAAGAGATGATAGAAAAAGCCTCATCAAACCTGTTGAGCAAATTCCACAATAATGGATTTGGCTCTCTCATCAAATTCATCCTTTGTGTTCTTTTTTTGTTTCTTTAATGCACTAACCACATCTGTTTCCGGACTTTTCTTCCAATCATATAATCTATCAATCTGACATGGAAAAAGAACAATAATAGTTTACGTTCTCAAACTGTATTGAAACTCAAACAAGATATATGCCACTTTGTATGATTGGTGATAGAATATATGACTGATCTGCAAAATGATTTTCTTAAATTCTGAAGTACTGTTAACACTCAAATTATTTATTGTGTGTCCCACAACCTACAAATAGATATTTTAATAACATTTTATAACATATTATTTTCAAAATTTAAATTTTTATTGCAGTTATAGTTAAAATAGGTTTACTATTGTGTTTCTGCAATTGATTGGGGTGGTGGGGGGGAATGGGGGGAAGCTATAATCCCAGGTTTCTGAAGCCAGACATCAGCAGCTGGAAATCAATTGTTTTTCTACTGTGAAGCATTGTGCCTGGGATTTACACAATGTTTCACAGGACCTGCTGAGTGTGAGAATGAATTCAAATACGACCACTTCATGGCACAATGTGTAGAACCATCAATGTGCTGAGCCACTTGAGTAGGGTAGCTGGATGAAGCCTACAATTGAATCAAAGTCCTTCTTTCCATTAAACTACTTTTTAAATCAGTTTATGATATTTCTTATAGGGACTTTCTAATATTAGGAAATCCCTATAAGAAATATCATATGAGCAAACACCTTAAATAATTACAAAAGCAAATAATAAAATATTGGAAATTTGTAAGGATCAAAAATAATCAATTTCTTCATTTTCAACACTTGTTTATTTGTACTTCAAATCCAATATATACATGTAGAAAAGCTTGAAAGTGTGCCCAGAAACAAAACACTTTTCACCATCATGATAAAAACTTTCTGCTTGATGATAGCTTTTCTACTGTAACAAACCAAATGTTTGTAAGATTTTACTTCAGTTAGAGAAAGCAAAACACTTTTACATTTAAGATTTCTATGATATTTAAAAAGAATTAAACCAAGTTTATTCACCTGGGCAATGTTGGATAATTAGGCTGCTGACAAACAAACTTGGTGGCAGCATTCACTTCCTGCTGCCAACTTTTTTAAAGTTTAAAATATTTAAATTTAAACATTAAATCGCAAGTCCTAAATAAAAAAGTGAAATGAGTGTTTGATTGAATGATAAAAATCAGGATCAGGTCATAAAATTCCCTGACTGTGCTGCTTAAAATATTGCTTACCTTGTTAAGTGCAACTATAAAAGGGCATTTTTTTGTCTTCAGCAGATTAATGGACTCAATTGTCTGCGGTTCCAATCCATGCATTACATCAACCACAAGAATTGCAATATCGCAGAGAGAACTGCCTCGATTTCTTAAGTTACTGAAAAGGGAAAAGTAAAAGCAATTGCTTAATACTAAGCTCTATAAAATGCAACTCTTGCATACAAGAATTTTCTCCATTAATATGAAAGATTACTTATTACTTCCACATGTAGGTAGATGACACTCAACTATAATTTCTGCCTCCATCCTCGATCCCAGGACCATTGCTCTTCTGATCAGAGCTTGTTGGACATCAAGTCCTGGATAAGCTCTAACTTTCTTCAGTTGGACGTCAACAAGATTTTGCTTGGCTCCTGTCAGCACCTTCTCACCACAGGCCCTGAAAACATCAAACTACTTTGATGCACATTCCACCTTGTGGAACTTGTGTGGAACCTTGATGTCTTGTTCAACTCTCAGTTGTCCTTTAAACCTCATATTCATACTCTGACCCGCTCAGCTCTCCACTCGGGCCAACAAGACCCGATTCCACACATACATAACGTCCAGGCTAGATTACGCCAACTCTGCTTGCTATGCAGCTCTTGCCTCCACAAACGGTAGACTCTCCAGAACTCTGCAACTTGTGTCCTTTTCCGCACTAGGTTCTGCGAGCCTATCCCTCCTTCCCCCATTCTTGCCCTGCCCCACTAGCTTACCATCCCCCAACAGATCTTGTCCTAACCTTTAAATTCCTTCACGATCTCATCCCACTCTTCTCAAACCCAACCGACCTATCCTCTCCCTCCACTTGGCAGGCACTGGCCTGCTTTATGCCCCCACCCTCAGTGTTGCACGTTCAGTGTATCTGCCCCGTTCTCTGGAACTCCATCCCAGATTTCCTTCAACTCCTCTTGTCTCCTTCAATGTCTCCCTCAAGACCTTCCTCTTAGCTATCTTCCCCCGCCCTCCTTTACCCCCATCCCAGATTGGGTGCAAACCCTGAACTGTCCAGGAGCTTGCTATGCCTATCTGAAAGGCACTATAATAAATATAAATTTATATTTGTATTATTACTCAAGAGGGTAGGAAAGATCACCCGTAGTTGAGGATGGTAAGAATCCAAAGCCGGAAATTCCAGTCTTAACCTCAAAACCATTTTAAAATTTACCTCAAAAATATTTTTAATATTTAAAATATAGAATTGTCTTCATTTGAAAGATAACCTTCTGTAGTTCTTAAAAATAGGGGGGAGGAGGTTGCCAAAAGCACAATTAAACAGAAAGGTTTTATGGAGAGTGAGGAGGCAACGTGGCAGGACCTTGGGTTGGAGTTCCAGAGCAAGATAGAATGGCTGAATACTGAACCTGAGTGTGAAACGGAGCAGGGGATGTGAAGCACGCAAGTGCCTGCCAAGTAGAGGGGACAGCAGAGTCACAAATGTTCATAGAGAGACACATGAAAGTCAGGAGGAGAATCTTGAATTTAGCATGCCAATGGGCCAAGAAGGCCTCATGGAACTCGGTTTGGGATAGGACAGAAGATGCAATTCTGGATGGCCTGCAGCTTGTGTAGGGAGGAGCTGTGAAGTCCAGCATGCAGAACATTAGAATAGCCAAACAAAACACAAAATACTGCAGCTGCTGAAAACCTGAAACAAAAACAGAAGTCGCTGGGAACACTCAGCAGGTCAGGCAGTATCTGTGAAGAAAGTGAGTCAACGTTTTGGGTCCACAACCCTTCGTCAGTTCTGACAAAGGGCCGTGGACCCGAAACGTTGACCCACTTTCTTTCTTCATAGATACTGCCTGACCATTAGAATAGCAAGACTGGACATGTTGATGTGGATGTTGTCCGGTAAAGGAGGGGGGGGCAGAAAAAGAGAGGTTGTGCCTGAGGTAAATAGCAATCAAGTCTAACAGCATAGTTTTAAGAGGAGAAACATTTACCTGAAGGATTCGTGACCTGGTGTATCAATGATCAGCATTCCTGGTATTTTAATGTTGTCTTTGTCAAACTAAAAGTTAATGAAACGTGAACAGTTTATTTTTTTAAATATGTTCCGTGTATACTCATCATAGGTGCAAATGTGCAAACATAACCCATTAAGATTATTTGAAAAAAAATCACACTACTGTATTTTAACACTTACATTTTTCACCATCTTAGTCTGTTCTTTGATGGTGTCCAGAGGGACATTGGTTGCACCAATCTGCTGGGTTATACCACCTGCTTCACCATCTTGTACATGTGTATGACGAAGCTGTGTACAGCAAAATCAGATTATAAACACAAATTTTGCATTTAATTGAGAAAAACACAATTTTGTGGATTATTCTTGGGTATACCTTGTCCAGAATTTTGGTTTTCCCCGTATCTACATGGCCAAGTACACAGATAATTGGTGCTCGTAGTTTTTCATAGTTTACATTTATAGTATTTTCTGCTCTGCGTTTCTGAAAAAAACAAATTGCAAAAAGAAAAACATTAAAACACCCAAATAAATTGGAATTTTAAAACATATTTACTCCTAAATTGCAAATGATATATTGGCTGCTGCATTTCACACACAAAATATAGTCAATTCAATTTATAGTATATTCTGTGAAGCACTTTGAGACCTCTCAAAGACGTGATAAGGTGCTATATCAAATGTAACAAAATATATATATTATATACACACACATTGACATCTTCAGTCAAAATGCTGGATTCAAAATGAAGGTAACATCAATATTATCAAAAAGCACAGTAGGTAAGTAGACTGCATTGCATTGACAGTTTCAGTCCTTTGTCTGCATTGGATTAGATAAGTTCAGCCAGAGCAGAAGTAGATAAAGCTATATTGCTTTAGTCATCTATGGGCTAGTATTCCGTCACACTCCCTGGCCTGAAATTCTACCTGGCTTTCAAACAAAAAACACACACAAAAAACTAGCTCCCAAATTAAGACTGATTTTAAGAATTTGTCGAAATTCTACATGGTCTGAAATTCTAGGTCTGAAACCAGGCAGAATTACTAGCCCAAGATTACTGATCAGCCCTGTTGAAAAGTGTACGTATGATGATTGGGAATGAATACAGAAAGCTCATTTGTGCTAGAATAACAATAATAATAATAATCCTTGCATTTGATATAGCGCTTTTCATGTCAGGAGGACATCCCAAAGCGCTTCACAGAACACACTGTAAAGTGAACTGACTGTATATTTGTGGGTGAACGCGGCAGCCAATTGCGCACAGCAATGTCCCACAAACAGTCGTAGATTGAAAATGACCAATTTATTATTTTTTTTTTTTGGTTTTGGAGGGATTATTATTAGGCGTGTGGAGTAAGGAAACTTGCCCAAGTTTTCGTCCTGCCTGGAATTGAACTCAGGTCTCTCACTTGCAAAGCGAGTGCTTAACCACTGAGCTACAGGACTCCACGTTACTAATAAGTTAGTAAAGCTCACTGCCCAAGCTCACACAAAAAATGGCCACTTGTGAAAGTATACTCCAACATGAGTCAGGGAGAGACGCAAGAGGAAAATATTGGAGAGTGAAAACAATTCAGAGGAATACAAACAAAAGCCAAGATTACAATAAATCAATGAGCATATTTAAAGATTACGCATGAATCAAACCCTCGTACATGCCTTATTACAACCAGGTTTGACTATGCCAACACCCTACTTGTTGGCCTTCCCAACTCTTTCCTCCACAAGCTGCAGATCATCCAGAACTCTGCAGCTCGTGTCTTCTTCCGCACCCACCCTCGCCCGGCTCCACTGGTGATCCCTCAGAGGATCTAGTTCAAAATTCTTTGCCTCACCTTCAAGGCCCTCCATGGCCTTGCCCCCTCCTACCTCTCTAACCTGTTAAACCCTTATCAACCTGTCCACTCCCTCCACTCAGCAGACTCCGGCCTGCTCCATGTCTCCCGCCCGGCCCGCCTTACAATCGGTAGTCAAGCCTTCAGCCTTTCTGCCCCCACCCTCCGGAACTCCATCCCACATTCCCTTCGCCTTACTTCTTCAAGACACACCTCAAGATCTTTCTCTTCGACCGTGCCTCCTACCCTCCACCCTGCCGTGCCTTCGGCCACCTCCTACCCTCTCTGCCCTCCACCCTCCCTGATCCCAACACCACCCCTCTACCCCGCTCAGGTTCTAACCCCTACTGTTCAGTGCCTTACGACGTCAAGACAAAATGTAAAATGTATTTTGACAAAATTACAAAATGTAATTTTGTATTGTAAGAAGCAGTTCACTGAAATACTATGCAATCTAAGAGGTAGCAGAAAAAGATGCACTGTGAAGTATATTTAATTCATTTTATTTTACAAGAAGTTTAGACAAGAAGCTCTTTGACCCATCAGATCTTATCCTTCCAGAACACCCGCCCTCCCATCCCCCCTCACAGCATCAAGCTGCTTTTTAAATGAGTCCAATGGCCTGGCCACCCTTCTTGGCAACCTGTTGCAATCATTAATTACCATCTAGTGCATCCTAGTATTTGTCCTAAAATTGCCCTTAACATCTCTAAACCTATGTTCTCTTGTTGTTCTGTTTTGGTGCATTCTAAAGTACTGATCTAGGTTTATCTATTATACACTAAAATTTGGTACTTTTGTTAAAAACTTTTTGGAAGTCTAGATATAGTAATCATATGGATTCCTGGTCAACTTGGGCTGTCAACTCTTAAAAATGTCTATGAGATGTGCCAGACAAGACCTACCCTTTCCAACCCATGTTGGCTGGGTTCCCGAACCCATGCTGGTCACCACCTGCTGCCTCTGGCCTCTTGCTTCTCCCTCGTCCCTTCCGCTCTGCTATTGGCGGCCGTGTTTTCAGCCAGTACACCCAAAACCTTGGAACGCTCTCCCTCAATCCCTCCAGCTTACCCCTTCCTTCTTCTTTTTCAGATCGCACATGAAGGCCTCTCTTCAATCATGCTCCCTCCCCCAGGCTCGGCATTAGGATCAGCCACTGTTAAGTGCTCCAAGGCGCTACCCCGCCTAAAGGGTACTACATAAATGCAACTTGCTGTTATTTAATAGATTGTTTTTATGTAGGTAATCTTCTACTTCCTTTCTGATAATAGACTCCGTAATTTTTTCATTTTTTTCCCAACTATTAAGTCAGACTGGAAAACAACAAAATACCTCAATTCGTCGCTTTGCATCATCATAAATTCTTTCTTCTTTCGTTCGTCCATCTTCAGAATTTGACTCTGAATCAGATTCTGAGCTAAATTCTTGTGTTGGTTTCTGTCTTGAACTCTTTTCCACTTCAGGTAGTTTTTTCTGAGATACGGTCCTCGTTTCATCAGAACCCTTTCATCTTCTTCATCTTCACTTTCATTACTTTCTCCATCTTCCTCATTCTCATCTTCTTCCTCATCATCATCCTCCTCAGCCTCCTCTTCCTCAGCCTTTTCTTTCAGTTCAATGTGGATAGTTTTCATTTCTGTCAAAAACAGTTCCAACATTAAAAGTCATTAGCCTTGGAAATATTGTAAAAAAAATGCAGCAAAATAATCAGTGGAGAAAATACCCTGGAATATGTGATTTCCATGTACGTATAAAAAAGAGCAATTAAAATGTTTTAAGAAGAAATATATGGTACTCACCTTGTTCATGATCACTTGCCATTGCTTCCCAGTCATCCAGACCAACATCTTTTTCTTCTTCAACTACTGTGAAGCAAAATTTTGAAATAAATCTAATATTTTTAACCCTTAGACGGTCACTGTCAGCACTGACAGAACACCAAGTAGAATGGTGTGGAACAAACATGCCTTTGGTGAGTCAAGAAGTAGCAATATATTCAGCAAATTCTCTAATAGAATTACTGATTGAATCTGGTCACAGAAGCTGCAGTATACAGTTTACACTGTACCTTAAAGGCTCTCCAGGAAGACCCTGTGCATCTTTACATCCTAAGCAATTTCAGAATACAGTAGTACTTACATAAAGTTGTATCAGTCGGAACCGATTACGCGAAATCTGAATTGCAGGTAAACTTGTATAAGTCATCTAAAATTCAATTTAATCAATAATCTACACTCCGCACGTGTAATTTAATGCAGTTGGTAAGTGCACACGCGGTGATGGGTCAAGATTACGTTTCCTGCAATTCAATGCGTCTTGACCCGTCGTCACATGCACACTTACCGGCAAGAATCTCATTAAATTGCGGGAAAGTAAGCTCTTCTGCAGATGTGTTGATGGATCAAGATAATATTTCCCATGATTTAATTCAGCTGCCTGGTAAGTGCATATGCGTCGATGGGTTAGGGCGTCATTTCCCACAGTTCAATGCAGCTAGTAAGTGCGGGAGTAATGGGGGATAGGGGAGCAGTGTTAAGAGTTTATTAATACGAGTAGAAAGAAACCTAAGTGGTTTGGATAGCAACCTGAATGGGACTCAGGTGGATGTACAACAACAACAACAAAATTACATTCATAGAGCACCTATCACGTCGGGAAGACGTCCCAAGGCGCTGGACAGTCAGAAGTCAGAACGATTAAGACGATCTTAAGACGATCATACGATTTTAAAGGTAAGACTTTTCCAAGTTGTAATGTATACACATTCGTGGGGGAGTAGAAAGGAACATAGACGTCAAGTACCCAGTGGACAAATACGGTTTCAATCCATTCTTAGCAATCATTCTCTCTAAAAGTGACAAGAGTTCAACAACAACATTCATTTATATTTTTGAAAAAGTTAAGGGAGTTTCTACTGATGCGACTGGCCAACAATATTCTAAATAAAATGATCAGTCACTTCATGGCTGCTTTTGGGACAATTGGCAGCCATGTTTGCCTACAAATACACAGTCATTACACTTCACGGAAAAATCCTGTGAAATGTTTTGAGATATCTTGTCTACGAGATAAGGGTTATATTACTAGTCTTCATGGGAAGCTGCCTCAATGTTGGTGGTAGAATGGTACTCAATCCTATGTTGTGTGGATGATATTCAGAATGAAAGATCTAACTTTAAATTTTACTTAAATTTTTCTCCTTTTGTCAGAAAACTGCAATGATGTGAGTGTACGTCACAATGGTTTTGAAAGAGAACAGGTTCCAGTAATAGATCCTAAACATGAAAAACTACTAACCTGGTGTGGGCTGTGAAGCTTCTATTTGGGTCTCAATTACCTCAACTTCTTCAACTGCTGGGGTTGGGCTGACTTCCAAGGGTTCTGTAATAAGTAAAATGGAATTATGATTTCATATTTTACTGGGAGGCGAGGAAACAGATCGTTTGGAACAAACAACTTTAAATTTAGTCTTTGGGTCCAACATTCTGTTGGTATGATAGAAAAATCGAATTCAATGAACACATTTGATGTTTTGGTACTGAATTGGCACAAAACACAATGTACAAATGTGTCAACCGTTTAACTGATGGTACTTCGCCCCCTTTAATTAACTAAAGAACAAACAAAACAATTTACTTTAAGATCAGATTGTATCAACTTACAATACTTTTTCATTAACACTGGGCTATAGTTTACAGTCTCAATCAGTATGTGGTAAAGTATAGGCAAGCATAAAGATGTGCAGGCAACTATAAAGATGTTGCAATTTTTCCAAAGAACCAAAAATCTGATGGCAAGTTCTTCCATAATATAAAACACCTGAAGGCCTTGGAATGGGTCAACTGTGACGTTTTGTTCCAAGTGAATCATAAAAAGGAGACAAATTATAGAACGATATGTTTAGAACAACAACAATGTCTTTAACTAGAATTCAATTGAATTGCTTAACATTTCCACTTGGTAAGAATTATACCCACTCTAAAAAATAAATTTACCTACCAACAAGATCTTATGGTTATGTTACAAAAATAGCTTAATAATCCAATACCCTAAAATTTAGGTGGTGAAACATAAAATACTCACCATCTTTACACTCATCTTCTTTGTTCTCCTGATGCTGTTTTTTCTTCTTTTTGTCTTCATATATTGGTCGTTTCTTTGGCATCGAATCTTTGGATGGCACCTCAATACCTATAAAAGCAAAGTGAAGAATTCTAATAAGAATCAGTTTATTTTTAATTTAAGAATTTCCTCCCATTTTAATCACACACATCATAAGCAATCGCTGCAGAGAGTATCCTGCTCGGTCTTTTCAATATCACCTGCATTGTTCTGTACATAAGAAACGCTTGCATGAAGTAAAATATACTGTCTGATAATATGCTCTACCTCCCAAGGCGCTGAACAGTGGGGGGATCAGGACCCGAGTGTGGGGGTGCAGGGTTGGGATGAGGGAGGGCTGAGAGGTAGAAGGGCAGCTGAAGGCACGGTCGAAAAGGAGGGTCTTGAGTCGTGCCTTGAAGGAGGCGAGGGTGGGAGCAAGGCGAAGGGATTGTGGGATTGAGTTCCAAAGGGTGGGGACAGAGAGGCTGAAAGCCCAGCCGCAGATGGTAAGGCAGGTCAAGCGGGAGACATGGTGCAGGCCGGAGCCTGATGAACAGAGGGAGTGAACAGGTTAGGTTGATAGGGTTTAGCGGAGAGGTAAGAGGGGGCAAGGCCCTGGAGTGCCTTGAAAGTGAGAGCGAGGATTTTGCATTCCATCCTCTGAGGGATGGGAAGTCAGGCACAAGCTGCAGAGTTCTGGATGATCTGCAGCTTATGGAGGGAAGAGTTGGGGAGACCGACAAGGAGGGGGTTTCTGTAGTCGAGCCTTGAGGTGACGAATGCATGTATGAGGGTTTCGGTGGCTTGAGGGGTGAAGCAGTGACGGAATCGGGCAAAGTTGCAGAGGTGGGAGAAGGCAGAGCAGGTCATGGCACAGATATGGGGAAGGAAAGCCAGTTGAAGGTGGAACAAGATGCCCAGTTTCCCGACTGGCTTGGTGAGGTGCAGACTGCATCCGTGGATGCTGATGCTGCGAGCGTCTACGGTGCGGAAGTGCTGTCACGAGCCAATCAGGAGGGCTTCAGTCTTGCTGACATTTAGCTGTAGAAAGTTGGCTCTCATCCAGGACTTGATGTCTGACAGACACTCTGTCAAGACATCAGTTGTCCTGGAATTGAAGGTGGAGGCAAAGAGATAGAGTTGGGTATCATCCACATACACGTGGAAGTTGGAAGTTCACGTTTGCAGATGTCGTCACCAAGGGGGAGCATGTGGAAGTTGAAGAGGAGGGGACAAGGACAGAGTCCTGAGGAACACTGCATGAGACTTTGCAGTGGCTAGAAGAGAAACCATTGGCGGAGACAAATTGGAGACGGTGTGAGAGATGAGACCTGAACAATTCAAGGGCAGAACCTTGAAGGTTGAGGTGAGAGGAGAGGCAAAGGAGGGGGATGGAGTGGTCCACAGTGTCAAAGGCAGCAGAGAGGTCGATGAGGTCACAGATGGACAGGATGTCGTTTGTCAGCTTAATCAGAGAAGTTTCTGTGCTGTGAGCAGCACGGAAACACAATTGGAGAGACTCATGAAGGGACTGGTAAGAGAGGAAGGAGCGAAGCAACAACTCTTTCAAGGACCTTAGAAAGAAAAGGGAGGTTGGAGATGGGCCGGTAGTTACAAAGCAGGGATAATAATAATAATCCTTGCATTTGATATAATGCTTTTCATGTCTTCTAGACGTCTCAAAGCGCTTCACAGAATATGCTGATGGGTCCAGGAAAGGTTTTTTTTCTAGATGGGGTGATCACAGCTGCTTTTTAGGGGGATGGGAACAGTGCCAGATGATAGGGAGAGATTGATGGTGTCGGAGAATAGAGGGGTGAAGAGGTGGAGCTAGGAGGTAAGGAGAGGTGGGGATGGGGTCAAGGAAGTGGTGTGTTTCATACTGGATAAGGTGGTGATGAGAGAGGAGGGGGAAGACAGATTTGAAGAAGTGGAGGAATGGGTAGGGATCGGAGTGTGGGGAGATGCGGAGAGAATGCCTCCCCCCTCTCTGTTAGCCCTTAAAAGCCTCTCCCTCCCAACATGCCCCAGTTCTGACGAAGGGTTGTGGACCCGAAATGCTAACTCACTTTCCTTTCTCCATAGATGCTGCCTGACCTGCTGAGTGTTCCCAGCGACTTCTGCTTTTGTTTCACTTTACAGTATATTCTGTGAAGCGTTTTGAAACATCTCAAAGACCTGATAAAGCACTATATCAAATGGAAGGCTTATTATTATTCTTGCATAAAATGCACCTCCTTATGAAACATCTCTAGTTGAGTACGCTAGTTACCATAGTGCTATAAAAGCTATACAATTGAGTGCAGGTATTCCAGCTTCATACATACCCTGAGCGCGCAGAAGTTCAAGTCTAGCCTCTGCTCTTGCTTTGGCTTCTTTCTGGGTTTTTGTTAGTAATTTGCCCTCCTTTTTCAAACGTTCTTTTCTTTCTTTTTCTTTCTGCTTTCGCTTTTCTTTTCGTTCCTGCTCTAGTTTCTCCTGTGGAAAAAAATTAAAAGAACGATTAAAAGAAAAATTAGCAAAGTGTTTTCCAGTAACCAATTTAGTAGCTGCTTAAGTGTAAAAAAACTATTTTACAATACCTCAGAACTACAAAACTTTATAAAAATTACAAATCACCATGTTATTTATGAACTACTTATTAAAAAAAGGTATATAATTTCATACTGAATTCTCAATTAGTGCAACCATTTTATAGAACTACAATATTTGACATCATCCTGAACACATATTTGCCCATAATTTGCTACTGGAAAAACAAATGTGCAGGAGGTGCCTGCAACAACACTTTGTGAAGGATGGCATGTCATCACTTGAAGACAACATACCCCATTACTTTTATTCCTTGGACGTGCTAACATTAAGCGGTTTGAGACACATTTTTTGCTAGCTACAACTTATTTTAAAAGGTTATAATAAATTTAGTTGTTAAATTTCATAGCAGCACAACTGACAATATCTAAGTATGACACATTCATTTGCCAAATAATCAATTAAGAAACAGCATACTTGCTCCAAGCGCTTGGCTTCCATTTCTTCTAAACGTCGTATACGTTCTTCCTCTTCTCTTTTTTGTCTTTCTTCTTCTTCTTTCAATCTTGCAAGTGCTTCTTGCATCGCTTTCACTACAGCCTTACTGGGGCCTGCTTTCTTCTTCTCTTTTTCATCCTTTTCTTTCTTCTTCTTTTTGTCTTTTTTCTTTTTCTCCCCATCATTTTCATCACCTGGAAAGAATGCCAAATGCCACTTTGGTCAATGGCTATTCTGCCCGTCATTAGCTTTTTGGTAAAACACATTTGTAACATACACTCGTAAAGAAAGGATCACCAACACTCATAATTCAAAATTGGCACAACCACATATTAGCTAAAATTAAACACTTCTCTCCCTCCTCCACCCACCCAATGAATCTAATATATTGTCTTTTTAACCCACTTCTTTTCTCATTTTTGTCTTTTTAATCCACTCTCCACTTTTAATCATTTCCCATAATATGTCCATAGCTGGTATGTTGCTGAACATTTCTTCCCAAATACTCTCCTTCACAGATTCAATTCTTGCCGCAGATGCAATATCTTGCCTTCATGCAACTGCATTCTGCATTTCTACATGCATTACGTTAAGATGTTAACTCCTTTTGTTTGGTTTTGATGTAAAATAAAACAGTAGAGAAAGAGCTTATTTCATCCTTGCTGCTATGGAATAGCTCAGAAAAGTAAATGGAATTTACTCATGGCATTCTTAAACTGAATCTGCGATAATGTGGCGCAGCCATGATTCTCAATTTTACAACACAGAGTTGGAAAATTTCTTCAGAAGTAAGAAAGATACAACAACAACAAAACTACATTTGTATAGCATCTTTCACGTCAGGACGTCCCAGGGCGCTGGACAGACAGAGTTTCAGACCCGAGCTGGGGGTCGGGGAGAGTGGAGGGCGGGGAAGCAGGGAGATCGAAAGCACGTCGAAGAGGAAGGTCTTCAAAAGGGTCTTGAAGGAAGCAAGGGAGGGGGCGAGGCAGAGGGACTGCAGGATGGAGTTCCAGAGGGTGGGGGCACAGTGGCAGAAGGCCTGCCCGCCAATAGTGGGTCGAACAAGGCGGGGACGTGAAGCAGGCCGGAGCTATATGCAAAACAAAACAACTAATGGCTGGCCTGAGAAAATCATAGGACGAGGCCAGAAGCAAGCCATCTGTATTTCTTTAAACTCAAGTATGAAATCATGGCACAGCTTGGAAACATCTGAAAAAAATACTTCTGCCAATTTTTATTTTGCATTCATAATAAAATTAAGGTCTACTAATATGAACAGATTATTCATAAGAAATGTCATACACACTCATTGATTTGACCCTCAATTAAACGTGTATTGAATATATTGAGATAACACGGCCTGCTTCATATACCCTGCACCTTCCATTGATGGGTGGGCTTTCAGCCATTCTGCCCACTCTCACTGAAACTGGAACCAGAATCCCTCCAACTGGAGTCCTGTAGCTCAGTGGTTAGAGCACTCGCTTTGCAAGCGAGAGACCTGAGTTCAATCCCAGACAGGGCGAAACCTTGGACAAGTTTCCTTACTCCACACAGAGCCTAATAATAATCCCTCCAAAATCAGAAACAATAATAAATTGGTCATTTTCAATCTATGACTGTTTGTGGGACATTGCTGTGCGCAATTGGCTGCCGCGTTCGCCCACAAATATACAGTCAATTCACTTTACAGTGTCTTCTGTGAAGCGCTTTGGGACGTCCTCCCGACGTGAAAAGCGCTATATCAAATGCAAGGATTATTATTATTATTATTATAACGTCCTACCTCCCTTGCTTGTCAAGACGTGTCTCAAAACACACCTCTGACCAATTTTCGCTCAGCAACCCTTAGCTCCCACCCCCAACTTGGATGCCCAGCCAGAATGGTCAAGCACTTTGAGACATCCTCCAAACGTGAAAGCAGCATTTAAATGTAAGTTATAATTGTAATAATAATAGCACAACCTGGATTCAAATGGTAAAAAAGTGACAAATCCATTAGACTCCTTATTTATTAGTTGTGACTGAAGTCATCAACTTTATCACCTCAAGGCTGGACTATGGGAACTCTCACCTCGCCGGCCTTCCTGGCACCTCCCTCCACAAGCTGCAGGTCATTCAGAACTCTGCAGCTCGTGTACTGTCCCGCATCAGACTTCGCAATCACATCACTCCCACCCTCGCTCGCCTCCACTGGCTCCCCATCCCCCAGAGGATCGATTTCAAGATCCTCACCCTCACCTACAAGTCCATTCACGGCCTTGCTCCCTCCTACCTCTCTGACCTACTATCCCCCTACCTACCTGCCCATACCCTCCGTTCCTCTGGCTCTGGTCTGCTCCACATCCCCCACCCCAACCGCCCTACCATCCGTGGCCAGGCCTTCAGCCTCTCAGCCCCGAGGCTCTGGAACTCTATTCCCCAGTGCCTTCGCCGCCTCCTCCCTTTCCTCCTTCAAGGCCGGTCTCAAGACTTTTCTCTTTGACCGTGCCTTCAGCTCCCCTCTCGACTCTCTACCCCCTCCTCGCTCCCTCCCTTCCCTCCCCTCACCCTGACCATATCCCCCCTGCTCGGGTCCTGACCCAACTGTGCAGCGCCTTGGGACATCCTCCCGACGTGAAAGGCGCTCTATAAATGGAATCTTATTGTTGTAGAGGGAATATTACACACAAAAAAAATTTACTGACCTTCAACACTTAATGGAACTTCCCCTCCTTTAATTTCAGTGGGTGGAGCAGGAGCATTTTCAGGTTCTTGTTGAGAAGGAACTTGCTGATCCTTTTCCTTTTTGGATTGTTCAGATTCCTCCTTTTCTCTCAGTTTACGAAGCTTGGCTTTCTCCTCTTCACGCTTCTTGCGCTCTCTTTCCTTCTTTTCCGCTTTCTTTTGTGCGGCTGTCTTTAGTTTGAATGTGGGTTCTTCTTCTTCATCATCATCATCATCACCATCACTCTCACCTGTCTGGGGTGGTTTGCCTTTTTGATTATCCTTTTTCTTACCTTTTTTCTTTTGAGGAAATTCAGATTCTTCGTCATCACTATCTTTCAATGAATTTGCTTCACCTTTTGTCATTTGAACTTCATCTTCTGAGAGGTCCAGCTTTTGTGTTGGCTTTGGATTCTTCCCTTTGCTCTTCTTGCTAGGCTTGTCTTCATCAGACAAACTAGATTTTTGATTCTGACCCTTTTTGTTTTGTACCAGTGCAAACTCTTCATCTTCCATTTCATCCTCTTCTTCAAAACTAGGTTTTTTGGCTTTGGAACTCTTATTTTTCTTTTTATCTTGCTTTGCATTAAATGACTCAGATTCATCATCATTTTCTTCTTTCTGCTATTGAAATGCACACAGAAAAGTAAAAGCTTACATTTATCCAGGAAAAGTTTCCTTAGGTTGATTTCTTATATCTTATTTCATTCAGGAGCAAGAAAGTACCAGATGTGATAGCAACCGCTGGTCTTACCCCCCACAAAACGAAGAGTGATATTCATCAGAAATTTCCAGAGAAATATACAGTTGCATTCTTCTAGTTTACACACTTTTTTTTCCATATTAAAGATATTTTAACTGTCCAGAAATATTCATCTCAATTAAAGATCTAAATCAAAACTATAGAGAAATCAAACCTTCACATTTGCTGCTGAAGATTTTGCTGTTTCTTTAACATCCTTTATTTCTTGATTCTCCATAGAAAGTTCTTCAAGTTCTTTCAGAATATCATCTTCACTGGAATTGTAGATTAAACAATAAATCAGCTATGATAGAAAGGAAAACAGAACCCAACAAAATATGTAATGTACCACCAAAATTCAAAATTAATATTTACTCAAAATCTTTCTTTTTCTTCTTTTTGCCTCCAGCTTTGGTAGGCTTTGAAGCCCCGGCTCCTTCAATCTCCGCTGCCAGTGCATCAATGTCAATATCATCCTTAGCACTAGAAAAATAAAGTCCCAATGGTCAATATTAACAAACAACAATATTTGCATTTGATATAGCGGCTTTCACGTGGGGAGGATGTCTCAAAACGCTTCACAAGATTTACTTAAAAGTGTAATGACTGGGTATTTTGTAGAAAAACGCAGTAACCAATTTGTGCACAGCAATGTCCAACAATGAATGATCAATCTCTTATATGGGGAATTTTGGCAGTGACAGGGAGAAACCTTCTCGTTTTTTTTCCCTCAAGAAGTGCCATGAGACCGTTAACATTCACCTGAACAGCGTCAGTTTAACGTCCCATACAAAGCACACTCCTAGCATTGCATCTGTGTGTCAGTCTAGACCAGGGTTGTCCAATCAACCCTTTTGAATTCCCTATTTGAGAATGGTCTGCAGGCCGCATAAGCAATATTTTGTGTTTCCCTTCCAGAAACAACATTTATACAGCACCTTTTTCATGTTGGAAAGACACCTCACAGCACTCAACACTGTTGGCCGGGCACCTGAATTGGGTTGGGAGCCAAGAGAGGTGCAATGGGGAGGGGAAAAGATAGAATAATAATAATCCTTGCATTTGATATAACGCTGTATCACGTCTTCGAGATGTCTCAAAGTGCTTCACCGAATATACTGTAAAGTGAATTGATTGTATATATTTGTGGGTATAACGCGGCAGCCAATTCCACACAGAAGTGTCCCACAAACAGTCGTGGAATGAGGTAACCAATTTATTACCCACTCCTCGCTCCCTCCCTTCCCTCCCATCACCCTGACCATTTCCCCCCTGCTCAGGTCCTGACCCAACTGTCCAGCACCTTGGGACGTCCTCCCGACGTGAAAGGCGCTCTATAAATGGAATCTTGCTGTTGTATTATTTCTTTCTGAAGGAATTATTACCGCTGGAAAAGCGATCCACCAATCGACTAACAACCGGCTTCCTGCTTACTGCTAGGTAACCAGAGGCGTGTGTGTGGAGTAATGAAACTGGTGGGGTGGAGAGTGCGAGGGATGAGCAGGAGGTCGGTGTCAGTCGAGCAGAGGCGCCGGATGGTGGAATGAGAGTGAGAAGGTCGGAAAGGTAGGGAGGTGCCAGAGAGTGAAGGGATTTGAACACAAGCGTGTTATCTTGAAGTCGATCAGTTTGGTGATGGGAAAACAGTGGACCTAGGCCAGAGCTGATGAGATGTGTGTACAGCATTTGGTTCGGTTAAGTATGCAGATGATAGAGTTCTGAATGAGCTGGATCTTTTGAATAGTTGAGCTGGGGAGACCGACCTGCGAGGAGTGTATTTGAGTAATCCAGGCGGGAGGTGGCAAAGCATGCAAGAGGGTTTCGGCTGCATTTGGGATAAGGTACAGTCGGAGGCAGGCAATGTGGCGAAGGTGGAAGAAGGTGGTCCTGGTCAGGGACTGTGGGGGAGCAAGGACAGCTGGGGTTCGGATTGGATGCCTAGATTGAGCGCTGGTTTCGTGAGCATGGGGGAGAGCCCAGGGAAGTTGACGAGTTCAAATCCGTAAGAGCGAAGACATTGACTGGAGCCAAGGAGTAAGGCTTCCGTCTTGTGCACATTCAGCTGCAGAAAGTTGCACTCATCTAGGCCTTGATGTTTGCCATACAGACTGATAGAACATCGGCAGACCTGGAGTTGGTAATGGAGGAGGCAAAGTAGATTTGTGTATCAACCGCATACATGTGGAATACATAGCTCCCCATACATGACTCCCCATACATAACTCTCCATTTCTCACCTCTCTCACATAAACCTCTCCCCCTCTCTCTTGCCTCCCCCTCACTTTCTCCCTCTCTCTCCCTCTCTCCTCCCCCCTCTCTCCTCCACCCACCTCTCCCTCGCTCCTCCCCCCCCTTCCCCCCTCTCTCCTCCACCCTCTCTTTCTCCCTCCCTCTCTCTCCCCCCTCTCTCCTCCACCCTCTCTTTCTCCCTCCTCTCTCTCCCCCCCTCTCCCTCTCTCCTCCCCCCTTCCCCCTCTCTCTCACCTCCCCTTCTCTCCTCCACCCCTTCCCCATCCCTACTCCCCCCTCCTCCCCCACTCTCCTCCCCCTCCTCCATCCCTTCCTCCTTCCTCCCCCCACTCTCCTCCCCCATCCCTTCCTCCTTCCTCCCCCCACTCTCCTCCCCCATCCCTTCCTCCTTCCTCCCCCCACTCTCCTCCCCATCCATTCCTCCCTCCTCCCCTACTCTCCTCCCCTACTCTCCTCCCCCATCCATTCCTCCTCCTCCCCCACTCTCCTCCCCCATCCATTCCTCCCTCCTCCCCTACTCTCCTCCCCCATCCATTCCTCCCTCCTCCCCCACTCTCCTCCCCCATCCATTCCTCCCTCCTCCCCCACTCTCCTCCCCCACTCTCCTCCCCATCCATTCCTCCCCCTCCCCCACTCTCCTCCCCCATCCATTCCTCCCTCCTCCCCCACTCTCCTCCCCCATCCATTCCTCCCTCCGCCCCCACTCTCCTCCCCCATCCATTCCTCCCTCCGCCCACTCTCCTCCTCCCATCCATTCCTCCCTCCGCCCCCCACTCTCCTCCCCCATCCATTCCTCCCTCCGCCCCCCACTCTCCTCCCCCATCCATTCCTCCTCCGCCCCACTCTCCTCCCCCATCCATTCCTCCCTCCGCCCCCACTCTCCTCCTCCATCCATTCCTCCTCCGCCCCCACTCTCCTCCCCATCCATTCCTCCCTCCGCCCCCCACTCTCCTCCCCCATCCCTTCCTCCTCCGCCCCCCCACTCTCCTCCCCCATCCTTCCTCCCTCCGCCCCCCACTCTCCGCCCCATCCCTTCCTCCCTCCGCCCCCACTCTCCGCCCCCATCCCTTCCTCCCTCCGCCCCCCACTCTCCGCCCCATCCCTTCCTCCTCCGCCCCCCACTCTCCTCCCCCATCCCTTCCTCCCTCGCCCCCCACTCTCCTCCCCCATCCCTTCCTCCCTCCGCCCCCACTCTCCTCCCCCATCCTTCCTCCTCCGCCCCCACTCTCCTCCCCCATCCATTCCTCCCTCCCTCCGCCCCCCACTCTCCGCCCCCATCCATTCCTCCCTCCGCCCCCCACTCTCCGCCCCCATCCCTTCCTCCCTCCGCCCCCCACTCTCCTCCCCCATCCCTTCCTCCCCCATCCCTTCCTCCCTCCGCCCCCACTCTCCTCCCCCATCCCTTCCCCCCCCTTCCCTTCCTCCCTCCCTCCGTCCCCCACTCTCCGTCCCCCACTCTCCTCCGCCCCCCGCTCTCCGCCCCCCCGCCCCCCGCTCTCCTCCCCCCGCCCCCTCCCCCCGCCCCCATCCCTTCCTCCCCCCACTCTCCTCCCCTATCCCTTCCCCCCACCCCCCCTCTCCCCCCCCCCTCCTCCCCCGCCCCCTCCCCATCCCTTCCTCCCCCCACTCTCCTCCCCTATCCCTTCCCCACTCTCCTCCCCTATCCCTTCCCCACTCTCCTCCCCTATCCCTTCCCCTCCTCCTCCCCCCTCCCCCTCCTCCCCTCCCCCCACTCTCCTCCTCCCCCACTCTCCTCCTCCTCCCCCCTCCTCCTTCCCCCCTCCTCCTCCTCCCCCCCTCCTCCTCCTCCTCCCCTCCTCCTCCTCCCCTCTCTCCTCCTCCTCCCCCCCTCCTCCTCCTTCCCTCTCTCCTCCTCCCCCCCTCCTCCTCCTCCCCCCTCCTCCTCCTCCTCCTCCTCTCCTCCCCCCTCCTCCTCCTCCTCCCACTCTCCCTCTTCCTCCTCCCACTCTCCTCTCCCCTCTCCTCCCCCCCTCCCCCCTCCCCTCCCCCCTCCTTCTGAACTACGGAGGATTATTGGTTTAACCCACACTATATTTTATGTAATGTACACAACATTTAAAGTACTGAAATACCAATTCATTTTCATTTTTATATAAAATATCTGGTTCCACACAAACAAGTGTGCTCATATATGGATAATTGTTGACATTGCCTAATAATGCAGTGATAGTTTTTATTTGACTGTACAGTAGTAACAAATATTTCTTTGTATTCTTAGACAATGAAATTGCTGAATGTGTAGCCAATTGGACCGTACAATAAGCACTATAGCCTAGCAGGGCTCCTAGAAGGCCCAGAACAAAACTGGATACAAATAAAGAAAAAAAAAATTTCGGTCTCTGAATCAGAGCAGAATATTTAAAATGTAATATTTGGTTACTGAAACAATCAGAATGTGATACACCAAATAAAGTAGTACAGTATATTACATGTGAGTTGCCATTAATCCCTCCCTTCCTCAGTGTCAAGTTTATTAAAGGTTATGCTACAAATGTCACCACATCCAAAATGACAGAGTACTAAATACAAACTATTGAATGCTTTCAATATACAAAGTGACCCCAATTATTGAGCGCTTCGCTGGGAGGTCTCCTATGGATCAATTGTTAGTGCAACATATAGTTAGGAAGGTAGTCAATCCATATCAGAAGCAATGACAATGTTAAACTGATGATTTGGAACCAGGATTTTTTTTAATAGGCTCATTAATATTTTGGATTCATAACACCAAGTTATAAACAGGGTCACCCTGTATTGTACTTATTTGCCTTTTCATAGATCTATCAATCCAATGTGGACCTTTGGTTACTGAAGTTTGACTACCTTAACCATATATGCTGCATTTGTTTAAAAAAAAGTTGAGTTTTTTTTCAAAATACTCTTTTTGAACATTGCCATGCGCAATATTCACTAGACTATATGAATTCAAAATGAATCAGCTGATCAGAAAATACAGACTGAAGACCAACATAAGTTTTCTATAACAATTAAAAAATAGTAACTTGCTAGTTAGAACCACAGTCAATTATATTTTAATATTATCATTTGCCTTCTAAAGTTAGCAAAATCATGCTTAATCAATAATGTCCTTTATGGAAATGGAATAGATTGTGTAAGAATGTGCTTTCAGGGTTTGTCTTGAATGGTAAGTATGTTTCTCACAAAACAACAACACATTACATTTATATAGTGGCTTTCATGTCATGAAGGGT